CTGCCCCTGACATGGACTCATTTCTTGTCCCGACGCTTCATGACCATATAGCGCCACAGACTCGGCTCCCTCCCACTCCAATCTATGATCTGTCCACGACGCTCACGGTCCACCCTAAACCACATCAAGCACTGCACAAACCGTGGCAGCAGATGCGGATACCTGATGCACAAATGTAAAATGTAAAACTGTGCAGTGTTCGACTGTGTTCATCCAGAACAGACCGTACAGCTTATAACGACGCAATGCCCTGATCCACAATATGAAGGAGACATCACAGTGATACACTCCGCTACACCTGATGCGGTTGTCTAACTTGACCACCTGACCACCTGAATGTGAAATTGTAGTTGTCGCCCTGCATCTACATCAGCCATAGGAAAGAAGAAGAAGACTCGAATCCCTCCCCCAACCGAAGCTCTCACCCCCCCCCCCCCTTCCTTTCCCTAACATTTGGATGAGGCAACCGTAGCCCAAGCAAGAATCGACTGAGCTATCGTCACGTTAGCGCTGACCCCATGACGTCCGTGGCTCAGGTACTGGGCCCGATTGCATGCTTCTGGAAGCGAGGAAGTGCCGCTGTGAACCTGAGTCGAGTCAGCCCAGGCAGGCTGCCGTGGGAACTCAGTGGCTCAGTTCCAAAACTGGGGCTGGCTCGCTTCAAAGTGGCCGTGCAAACGTGGCAACAGTCTGGCCAGCACTGGCCCCAAAAAAGACACCGGTGGGGTCATAACTAAGGGGATGAACCCCAACGCATGCGCCCCAACGTTACTGTTGCAATGTGAGACCCTGGCACCCCTGCTTACGATATTTTTTGATCGCTTTAATATGTCTAAACAAGTGGGATGGCATTCAACCATATAGCTGTGGATCCATTCTATGAATGTTTGTGTGTGTGAGGGAGCGGTGGCGTAACGGTTAGCGCGTTGCGCTACAAACCCGGCAAACCGAGTTCAATTACTGCTCACGGCCAACACCAGTGACGATTATTTTAACCGGTCCTGGGCCTCCCTTAGATCGGCTCAGCCTCAAATGAGTGCCTGGTGTGGTGTGTTAACATCGTTCACTCGGGATTCAAAGGTGTTTGCCACCCACCCCCTCGTGTGCTGCGCCGGCCTTCATAGGTGCTCGCTAACAGCACTTGCCCCAACAGTCTGTTCAGGCTATATGGGAGATGTTTGTCTTTGTTTTAAGCAAGGGGCTGTAAATCACATTTTAATACCACATGGTTCGTTTTCCGTTGTATAAATGGATATTGATATGAGATTTCGAAGGTCAGTCAACTAACATTCTTAGTTCATTATCATAATAGTGGCTGTTATTTTTATGAAACCTGTTCACAAACACTGTACGTAAAGTAACCTTCCCCTCGCCTTATGCTACTTCCCTACATCACGGCTGGGCAGTGATCAAAAGGAAAACGGATATTTTTTTTTTAATCCACATGCCACCATCATCACTAGCTTACGTAGGCTTACATTTAAAGCATTGCATTAATTCTAGGCTGGAGCATGTGGCAATGTTCACACAACCTGCACTCGTAGCAATGCCAGGCAGAAGCTTTTGCACTGCAGCCCCGCTGCTCCAGATACACGTAATTACTTATTCATTAGCCCCGTTGAGTCGAGTACATTAATGTGTCAGCCACTTGTGGTTATGGTATTATGCATTCCTGCAAGGCTGCTCGTGGTGACGTCTGTACCCGGTCACTTTTTTAAAGGCGCATTACATGGGTTTGTGTACAGCGGTGGATGAGTCAAAATTGCTTGGGTGAAAGATCACTTTAAAAAAAAAAAAATCTATTTTCATGTTCATCTGTTGTTTTATTAAAGATGACACCGGCAGCTTCCCAGAATTGTCTAAATTGTGCAATTTAACTTTGAATGCAAGCTTGGGATTTAGAATTGAATGCAAGCTTGGGATTTACAAGAAATGCATTTTGTTGAGTAGAGAGGAAGACTGTATGAGCAACATCATGTAATGCGAACACGAATTGAAGGGTGGGGGGGAGGGAGGCGATTGGAGGAGGGGAGGGCATCGGCGAGCATCAGAGTGGTGGAGCTGAGTGAAATGACAAGGTGAGGGGAGTAAAGGGTGGACGAGTCAGCCAGGGGAAGGGAGTGAGTTGTTGTGGTGAGACCCCCCCTCCTGAGATGGTGGGGAGGTGAGTGGGTTTGGGTTGGGCAGCGCTGGTGCTGGCAGGCCTCCCCCCCCCCCCCGCAAGCCGTGGGTAGTGAGTGCAATGCCATGTTCTTTTCTGACCCACCGTGGTGCCCGCTGCCTATCGCCATCGACCGTGAGCCAAGTGCACTTAGCGAGTCAAGGAGCTGTCTTTTTAGAGAACGTGAAGTAACCAACACAGTTGTGAGCATTACTCGACTTTGCAGGGAAGTGCTCAAGCACCTTGTGCAATTTTAAAACTCGGCCAATGTGACAAATGTGTCTCCTCCGACTCCAAGGGCCTAAAGTTGGCAACGTATTTTTTTGGGGAGTTTCAGTTTTTATTCTACAAAAGTATATATTTTTTTAATGAAGACTAATATTCTGAAGCGCACCAAACAGTTTGACGTTCCAATGGCATTTTCACTTTGAAAACTACATTTAATATATATATTTTAAAAATGTGGGGTGTTTTTAGTCCAGTGAAAGTGTCCATGTAACTGTCCATCAGAGGTGGAGTGAGTTGGGTCAGTGGGCTTGGCGAGTTTCTAGGCCCTCACTCTGCTGGCCTCTGGCGATAAGCCGACTATCGCAGCCTCCCTCGGACCAGCTTGCCCCTCGGTTTAAATTCAGGTTCGGGCGGAGATATGACGGTGGGTGGGATTTACAACCTATAATAGCGCATCATTGCTGATCGTATCTCCCCTAATATTGCCTTTAGTACATGACATTAGGCGTATGTGTGGCGGTAATTAGCATAGAGGGTGTGAGCGGGGCTGCGACTCGGATAATCCCACCCAGCACCTGCCTAATCCCGCACGCCTTCTTGCGGAGCCTCGTGGTATAATTAATTAGCTATAAATAAATAATCTCTGCCTGGTGGCACCATTGGCCGGTGGTGAAGAGGTCCATCTGTGACCCCCCCCCCCCCCCCGTCATTTCTTATTTTTGCGGTGAAGGCCGCGTGTACAGCCCACATTTTGAACTAATCTCATTTGGATTATCCTCGCCATTAAAAAGATGCAGCCCGCCGCTCTTGTCTGCGGCGGTTGGGTGGTGTGTTGTAGCGGGGGATCGGGGGTCGACGGGATGAATGTGAAAATTGTAATGAACTGCATTGAAATCGGGTCGCACACACACACATGATGTGGCCGTGCGCGCGCGTGTGAGTGCGTGCGTGCATGCGGCATTCCTAGCTCCGAGACCCGACCGCCCACAACAGCGGTTGTTCCACTATCTCCAAATGACATCACGGCATCATTATTATTATTGCACAGGCTTCCTATGCGTGCCTTTGAAGGCGATAGAAACTTGGCCGCGTCACCAGACTCGGCGTGCACTTCCAATATTTTTCCTCCCGCCGTGCATAATTTTTAAATCAAGCGCGTACCTTTCGAGGTTATAAGGTAACACGGGCCACGTTTAATTGTGCGCACAACTCTGGGTGCCGGCCGCTGACTTGCGCGTGCACGCTTCTGCTGCCCGGGAGAGAACAGGGAGCGTGGTGTCAGCACCCTGCATTGGAAATGCACTGTATATATTAGAGTTGCTAATACACGCAAAGCCCGAGGGCCCTTGGAGACTGCACTTCTCATAAAGAGCGAGTAATGAGAAATGGAAAGCGGGCCTCTCACATTCAACATCGTTTAAAGGGGCCGTTCAGCGTTCCAAATGGGCCGTTTTGAGAAGAAGAAGAAGAGGAAATCCAAAACATGATTTCATAAAAGTTTTTGTTTTTATGGAATGCGACGTGAAAAATTAGAGTGCATTGCTCTTACGGTGCTACCGCGAGCTGATTTTCACGCATTCCCTTGAAACCTCTTGGTCGGTGGGGGGTCTCGGCATTGGAGACCACCGTGAGATGCGCCGTGACCCTCGGATCGTGTCCAGCGTGGCCACACAAACGCGGCGCCGCCAGCCAGCCCCCCCCCCGCACCTCGGCGCGCGCGTTCCGTTCGTGAGCTCCGTCGATACCGCGAACTCCTCGGGCTCTGGTGCCGTGCCGGGTGGGCTCCGGACCCCCGTTCCGGCCGCGTGGTCTCGGGCCCGGTTTATCGCTGCGCTAGAGACGGGCGGGCGCTTCCCGGCCCTCAGGGCTGCAACTCCCCCCCACCACCACCGCAAAACCAACAACAGATGGGCTCCAATAAACCGCCCCGCGAAACGTTCAGCCTCGCGCTCATCCACCGGCCCGCATCCGGCCTGCAAGCGCAGCCAACAGATGCTCGGAATCTTTAATCAATGACTCGTGCCGCTCAGTGCCGCCGGGGTGAATCCCTGTTATTAGAGGCCCTAATCAGAGGATGAGCCTGTCACTCGCGCGCTACACGAGCCTCCTTTATTGTTGTTTTTCGAGAGGCTGTCTGTCAAATGGCTCGGGGCAAGTCACCCAGGATGCGGCTCCGTTATTGCACATGTATTATTGCTGTTGTTGTCCTCGTCGTTATTACAGTGGTGTTTTTTTATGGTGGAGTAATGCCCCCCCCCCTCCCCTTCTATCTGTGTCGGAGTTTAAATGCCCTCGGAAGTGCTCTTGACCTTGATGAGTCGATTGTGATCATAACATCGCGGCTGCTTTCATGGGCTGCGCTCATGCTCCATGGGATTCAATGTAACTACGTCCATGACCTTTGCCTTCCTATCACATGCGTGCATTAGGATGTATCATTTATAATGGACGCACACGGGCAATGTGACCACTTTGTAGCGACGGTCAAGTCACACTTTTCTCTCCGCCATCTGACCCCGCACCCCCCTCACCCCCACCCCCCGATGATGAGAGCAAAGGTCACGTTTTCTAAACGCATCTCTCTGTTTCTTCTCTTTCTTCATCATCGTAGTTCTGCGAGACGAATTCCGGCAAAACCCATCGGACGTGGTGGTGGCAGCCCGGGAGCCGGCCGTAATGGAGTGCCTGCCGCCGCGCGGACACCCCGAGCCCACCTGTGTCTTGGAAACGCAACGGAGTGGCGCTCACGGATAAGGACGAGCGTGTGACGGTATGGGCACAGCGGCCCCGTGGGGGTAGAGAAGGGGGGATGGGGGCGGCACACACTCGCGGCATTAATGCGCTTATCGACGCAGAGTCGGGAATAGTCAGCAAGCGCCAGCGCAGAAATCATAAGGAATCAATGTGCACCTCACTCGACCGGAATTCCCACGGCGTCGTATCGAGAGCGAGAAGTGCGGACAGATTGGCCCGAGTAACAGCTAATGAAGCCAGTAAATAACGACGAGGAACACAACTTGTAAATAACTGCAAGAGCACCAGGTGACCGGGGCTGGTTAATCACCATCAGGCATGTATACGTGTCGATGCACACAGTTGCCTTCGTGTGCGTACATGTCCCAGAGATTGCCGTGTGTCCCAGGAATATGGCCCTCGAGGAAAGATAGAAATTGACGCTCTGAATGGAGCTGTTTTCAGGGTTGTGCGTTTCCGCTGACACCCATCTGCTACTAATCGTGACAATAAAGCAACCGCATTTGTGGGCAGAGAAACCACAGCAGGGCTATAATCCATTTCGACATTGATTTTTTTCACTTTGTCTTACCATTAATGATGTCGTAGAACTCTCGTTGCATTACTGAGGCTCAATCTTTCTCAACTCCTAAACCCAGAAGAGCTTTGACTGCAGATTGGGTTCTCTAATTCACCATACAAAACACGTTTTGGCTTCTGAATTCATGAAACACTTTGTTCCAGAATAAAAGTAGCACGTAACACAGTAATTGCCAGCTACATACTCTCGCTAATCGCACACCTTGGAAAAATGATTCCAACAAAGCAAGCGCTATTTTTGCGACCATTTTTCTTTTTCACCTCCCTTTAATGAGTTCACCGGTGAGCGTGTTGAAACCGTGAACCTCGCCGGCGCCTTTAAAACATTCCCAGACTGTGGAGACAAGATTCATTTTTCATTCGTAGCCCCCGAGACTCGGATCCCAGCTCCCTGGAGCTTTAGGCTCGGGGATGTGCGGGGCCACTGACAGACGTCAACGTTACATCCTCGTCGCATGCCAGCCGGCCGACAAAGCAGCCACCTGAACCAGGAAGTGGAGCCTAATTAAACTCGCACGTTTATTGAAGTGAAAACACAGAGAGGTAAATTTACATTACACCGGGGGACGGCACTGAAACGAAAGTGCCATATCTGTCATCGTGGCTCTGGTCAAACGCAGGATATGGGTAAGGATATGCTCTCTCAACCCAGACTGTAACAACGCGAGGATTGCATCCGGGCAAGCGGATGCATCTGTCACGATCGTCGATTTCACGTACCTTCAACGTCGGCACTCTTTGCTTGCTATTAAATTACCATCATCGGCAGCCATTATCTATCCACTACTGGATGAATGCCTTCTCAAGCCATCGACGTCCCTCACAGTTTGACGATGTTGCACTCCACCAAGCCTGCTACACGAGGGCCAATCTCATCGCTATATCCCCACGGGTGGACACGCTCCTAGGCCTGCTCCCTCCATTGGCTGCCACTCCACGGTTAGTCTCAACCACTGGCTATCATCCCGTCTCGGCATGACTCACTTATATTTATAAACGGTCAATATGAAGCCTCTAACTTGGGCATGTTCATTGATCCACGTGTTCTTCTGTCTGTCTCTCGGTGTAATTCCAAGCATGCATCGCCTTTGCGCATTCATAGCGCTCTTAGATATGAATATTTTATTTAATTGTGAGGACAGTGGACGCCAGTGAGAATTGGTCTATTGTTAGGCAGGAGTGGATTACACCTTTCTTCTGCTATGAAACCATTGAGGGATTCTTTTTTTCCGGACCACCTGATAAGAGCAGCGACATGACCTCTTAATAGGCAGAGGTGTGCATTGTCTGTTTAATATTCCAATTTGCTTACCTTGTTAGCGAAGAAAGTAACGTTTTAATGTGGCCGTTAAGAATGCACTTTACGAATTAAATTTCAAGCTTATTTCTGCTGCATAGAGGCCATACAACGTGCCATATTAGTCATGCGATGTGCATTCGTGGCAGTTAAGGAAGATTTATTTCATAATTACATTTTGCTGCCAATTTTCAAGGTCTGACCATTTGGTTCGTGGTGCAAACGCTCGACATGCTACCGTAACAGATGTCACATTTATTTTCCACGGGCAACATGCAAATATTGCAGAGCAATAAATAGTTGGTCGCATAGAGACCAACATAGCGGTGAGAGGACCCCGAGAATTCCCAACCACTAATCATCTCAAAACTTTTGTGACACTTACCCAATCCCTTTACCGCGAGCATTTGTGCACGTGCGAGTGAATCACAATAGCCGAAGGAAAGCCACGCATGCAAGGAGATACATCTGACAGCGAGAGCTTGTGAGACATGGGCTGAACGCCCTGGCCTGGCACAGGCGCCGTGGTGACATCACCAGTTCACTTAATGGCAAATGGCGGCTGCTGTTGTTGTTGTTGTTGTTGAACACCGGTGGAACCGCAGCGGGAGGTTCCACGGGGGGTGTGTGTCTGAGCTGTTCTGGGCCGTTGACGGAACGTTCCTAGAACCACTCGGTACAGCTCAGGCCTTATTCCAACATGGGTTCAACGGGGTCGGTGCAGTGTTATTGACGAATGTCAAGACATGTCAAGACAAATTTATTTTTGTTTACATACATGGCACCTTTCTGGCACGGAAGCGCCACTCAAAGTGTCATCGCATTAATCCTCAACATCGACTTAGAATATTCTGAGCAATGAAATATATATTTACATACCATCTGCAGTCGTTTCATGTATACAATAGAAGCAAGTTGTGGCGGTGAGTTAGCTGAATGTGTTGACATTTTTTTTTCATTATTATTATTTGTGCTAGTGCACCACCGCAGTGTCACCAAGTAATTAGTTCACCGCTGCTGAAGGAGCTACATAAGTAGGCTACATGGCCTGGCAGGGCTCGCAGATCACTGCCGTGAGAACCTAAGCTCTAATAGCCCATTTGCCTGGATTATGAACTTGGCAATTTGGCTGTTAGGTGCTCATGGGAACCCAGCGTCATAGCTCCACTATATTCCTTTACAGTCAAAGTAAGCCTTACCTCCAAGTGTATTGTTATTATAGGCATATCATTGCCAGCTGAAAGCATACCGGCCTAATGCATTATCCATGCAGATTGTCCAGTATCATGCCTTTCCAAAATTGCACTTTACCCGTGCCATTGCTAAATATTGATGCAGGGAATGCTGTTTTATGGTTTAAAAAAAAAAAACTATAAATATATTGAAACAAAATCTTGGCTCATTTTTTTATACCACCAAAACTTTGATCCCCTGGGGTAAAATATCCAATAAAATATCAGAGTTAATTTTCTTTCCCCACTCTGACGATTAATTCTCAGTGAAACAAACAGAAGATGCTTTATATTGACCCAGACAGGCCTGACAGACCTGGCGTTAGAAGCTTGTTTGAGAGGAATGGCTCCATTGACCCGTTTTTATTGATTCCCTTGTTGGCAGACCTACAGAACACAGGGTTGTTTTTTTTAGAAGTTATAAGCTGCACCTTGCAATCTTCAAAACATTCACGAAACTTCTCACATCAATCAACCCCAGATACTCCAGGGCTCTCTTGGGCCAGAGTTTCATTTCCAAAGCAAACTCCAGGTTCCACTCCAGGCAGCTTGTTACCACCTTTTGCAGCATGCATGTGCCTTTTTTGGGATGATTCATTTGTCCCCACTCCTGCAGTCCACCCTGTGATCTTGTTTTGTGGATTACTTCCTCGCAGATCCGCGGAGGCAAACTGATGATCTCGAACACGCAAAAGGCAGATGCGGGGATGTACGTGTGCGTCGGAACCAACATGGTCGGAGAGAGAGACAGCGAACCGGCGGAGCTCGCTGTGTTCGGTACGTGCCACCAACCCCTCCGGCCAAACACTTCTTCACTCTGCAGCGAACTGCTGGGGTCCAGAACACATGTGCTTACCGCAAATAAATCACAATACCTCGCTCATCTCGTCAAGGAACATAAACCATCATCGCGTGAACTCCGGTCATCATGGCAGCAGCAGCGGCTTTTGGGCTAACTAGCTATCGAACAAGGATGGTCACTGTGTCACGCACTTTCACATGTGCTTCTGCGACCGTCTGGAATGCTCTTCCTTCTGATATTCGGAGAAACACTGGAGCTATGCACTTTTAAATCATCTCCATTGAAAACTAATTTATTTCGAACTTCCTTTTGTGTTTAGTTTGTTATCCTTCCCTCGCACAGCATGGTTGGTTACGTAGGGTGCAAAAGAAGTTCAACATACATACATACAGTGGCGTAGATATCGAGTGAGCAGGCGGTGCAACCGCCCCGGGGCCCGTGGGACACAGTGGCCAGGCCCCATGTCTGCAGTCAGGGATGACTGCAGACATGGGGCCCTAATTTCCATCCTTGCATCAGGTCTTGGCTGACAATCCAGCCACTGAGGCTGGTTCCCACCAACATCAAACATCATTTGCATTGTACCTACCATTTCTTGCATGGTACAAATGAATTGCCCATGTATCTATCACCTCCCAGAATATGTAATTGGAATTTAGAATCCTTCAAAATGCCTCCACTTCTTCAGAACCAGATTTTCATGAATATTTAACCCTGACCTTTAATGACCTGAGTTGCTCATCCGTTCACTGATGTTCGTCCCATCCCTGCGTCTCACCCACCCGGACGCGTCCCCAGAGCGGCCTACGTTCGCGCGAAAGCCGATGAACCTTGTGATGCTTGCCGACTCGGACGCGGAGTTCCGCTGCGAGGTCCACGGCGACCCCCCGCCGACAGTTCGGTGGAGGAAGGAGGATGGAGACCTCCCCAAGGGCAGGTAAGATGAGGCACCGGAGGATCCGGGAATTTCCATCGCAACTCTCTCACTCTCCCCTCCTCTGTCAACCCCGAGCGGCCGCACGGAGCATAGAATATTCACTTTGCGTAAAATGTCGCTCGGCTGTAGAGCAGTCACTTATTGCGGTTGTCAACTAAAAAAAAAACTATGCTTTCATGCGGTCAATGTTGCAGCTTTTTCTTTTCTCTTCTTAATTACATCGCTCTGCTTCCTCATGTCCTTGCTCCTTTTCTCCTACGCCTCCCAGCCAAAGAGATTGGCAGCCTTTTTGTTGACGAGTCCACTTTCTCCAAATGCACATTCAGGTCTTGTCCCAAGGACGGCGAGGCGATAGTTGTGGGAGAAGGAGGAGGAGGAGGATGGAGGCGGGTCGGGGGAAAATATAATATTCTTGTGATGTTTTGAGCCAATCGAAAACCGCTGACCCGTGCGGGGCGGTATGAGAAGAGGGCGAGGTGCAAAAAATCTTATTGTCGGGTTTCCCTTGTCATTGGCGCGAAGGGACAGGAATGGGGGAACAACTTAAAGCACCTGCTCTTATTAAAGTGCTGCCCGGGGGCGATTGAAAAGGTTAGGTTAGGAATCTTATTGGTGGCCACTCTGGCTTACAGCTTTAAGGACGAGGGCTCTCCTCGGAGCATATGCATTGAAATCACTCCTCGCGGAAGAGATGAAAGTGCTCCCACGGCATTGCAGAGGTACCGTCTCTCGCTTAGCCGTGCGGATGGGCAACGACGGGGAATTGATGGTGCAAAATTAAACCTGGCCGCGAATGTATCTCTCACCGACAGAGCGGACATAGCTGCAACCTATTTTTGCCAAACTCGCGCAGCATTGGCAGCCCATGAAAGTGAAGCGGATATGTGCATGAGTGGCTTTGTGTGTAAACTGAACATTTAATTGGCTTATGTAATGAACTATGAAATCAGTGGTTCATGGTTAAAACATTCTGTGTGTATTTTCGTGATATTTTACAAGACGTTTTAAAAAGGTATTTTTAAAATCTTGGTCAAAAGAGAATAAGGATACTGTTAAAAAATAAAATTAGAACAATTAACACTGTAGGATATTTTACTTTCTTTGAGCTTTTCATTTGGCGGGCCTTCACATCATTACCATAATTTTAATTTATCTACGTTTTGACCATATAATAATAAAAAATAAATGGATTCAATGAAAATCCTTTCAAACGCAACAACAAAGCCCATGTTTAAAGTCATGAAAGCTCATTGTTTGAGATGAGATGGAACGGATGAGTTGAGTCTGAATATGGCATGGAACAGAATACCATCGTGTTTTGTATATTTTTTTATGCCTGTTTAGCCATAAAAGCCTTACCGAATATTGGAAATGTATTCACGAGGACCCTGCTAAGTTTTTTTTTTTTACGGTTGGGGCAATGATTGCTATGTTTAATCCCAAATGAGTAATTTAGGTGGTAATAATTTCTTCAAATGTGGACCATAACACTGGCACACAATGCCCTACTCTTACGAATGAAATCGTGAGATCTTTAACATCCGCTGCTAAGTCGAGGCCACATCACCGGTGTGACGTGGTATTCCGCCGTGGTGTGGCATGGCGTGTAATGATATGGCCTTGCCTTGGGTACCTTTGTGTATCGTGGTGTGACATGGTGAGTTGTAGCATAGTATGTGGCGTAGATTCTCCATGGCATGGTGTGGCGTCGCGTGTTGGTGGCATGCTACACCACGGTGCGGTGTGTCACGGTGTGACATGATGTGCCATGGCATGGCGTGGCAGGTTTGAGATCCAGGACGACTACACGCTACGTGTGGAGCGTGTGGGTGGCACGGACGAGGGCACGTACACGTGCGTTGGCGAGAACCGCGTGGGCAAAGCTGAGGCATCGGCATCGCTCGTGGTGCACGGTACAGCTGATCCCCCGCCATCGCCCCAGCCCTCCCCTCCAACTCCCCCCCCCCCAACTCTAAGCACACGTTCAACCACATCCACACGCCGCCCTGGTGGGTACATCTCACCAGTGCGGCACATGAGTGCACCGCTCAGCAAAAGCGGCGATCACTCAAACGCAAGCTCGCGCATCCACACTACCAAGTCACAACATCTCCGTGCCGACACAACCACACTCCGCATATCATGTGGGTTATTGGACTTAACATTTTGTGCCATCATTTAAATTTACGGTGCTTTTGGCAATCTATTTCTGGATGAAGGCCTCCCCGTGCCGTGCTTTATCATGTGAGATGGGGTTTGACCGTTTTTCACCACGCTGGTCAGTGGGTTGGTAAAGGTGATGCCCAGGAAAGATCTAGATCACAATCGCCTCTGGTGTTAGCCATGGCCAGGAATTTAACTCGGGGTCACCAGGTTCATAGCGCGTAGCATGCACCATTGCACCATCGATAGCGTTAGAGAAATTGTCACCTATTGGTAAACACTGTGCACGAAAAATCAAAAGACTTCACACTGCGGACAAGTACATTGCCTACACGGTAGATAAATAAATAAATACATTGGCATTTCTTACAAATTCCATGCGCTGTCATCGAGCCATTTGCGTTACGCGAGCGCCAGAGTTTTGAGAGTGATCATAACAACAGCTGACCATTACAGAGGACCTATCTGTGTTCGGCACGCGCGCCGTTTACTTGTCACCAACCTCGCCATCAACTTTTTGACGCAGACATCGACATTATCCATTACCCATTGTAATCATATCTTCCTTTTTTTGTTTTTGTTGTTTTCCTTTCCTCCCCCTCTCTCTCTCTCTGTGTTTTGTTTCCCTTTCCCCCTCCCCCCTCCTTCGTCCACCCAGTCCGTCCGTATGGTAAGTGACCATTTCCATTTCATTGTCCACGAGGAGCGACGTCCGAGAGTCCGGTGTGTGAGCGAGATAAGCCAGTGGGGTCGTGGCCACCCAACATTTGGCGTCGTCCTTAAATCAGGCTGCGGCCTGCACCTCCCAGGAAGCCCTGTCGGCGGCTCACACATCTTCCCTGTCACCCACGGCCTCCGTAAATCAGCAAAATTGTTTTGTTTTTTCTTCCCAATTGCACGCGCGCTCATTTATAGGTGGAATTAAACCAACGACTATTCGTCATTCTCTTTTGTGCTTTTCCTATTAATGGTATCGCCCCAAATTGCCGGCCGTCAATTTAAGGCATGGGATTTTGTAATCTTTTGAATTCACCGTATAATTTAGGTGTTTTATACAACCGAAACAATAATAAAAATCATAAAATATGGGCAGACATATACGGTACTGTATTAGTATATCTACATTGCGTAGTGTGCAGATGTGATACATGACTGACATAAACATGATATATGAACGTCAGATATATATGTACGATATACAACTAATGTATGCGGCATGTGGGAAGTGATATACGATACTTGATATGTACACATTAAATATGACATGCCGGCACTGCAGTTTATGCTAAACGTACATAAACACAATAATTATACCCAGTGTAAATAAGGTTCGTCACAGCTGTGTCTCATTCATTTCTCATTCACTTTACAAAGTATTTGGCCACTGGCTCATGGTGATGCCCTCTGTAATGGCATTCTTCACTCAAGGCTGCATGTTCCCCCTAATCAGTGCGCTGTTAATGTGCATCGGTGGCATGGGGTCGCCGTCAGAACGGGGCCTCCTTTATCCCGGGCATGATCCATATTCCGTCTCGCTCCCCGCGGAGTCCAGGGGGGACAGGGGATGTGTCAAGCCTGGCCGGGGCGAGCATCAGATGTATTATGTAAATTGTGTCGCGCTAATGACACGGAAAGAGCAGGGATGGTTTTGTTCCCCGTGTAAATGGCTTTTATCATTTCGGCGCACAAACTGGCGCCCGTGTGTGTGCGTGTGCGAGCCGCGTCCTTTCATCCTGCACGCGGCGGGACCCTTACACGTGTAAATCGAGCACTCGCGCTAATGTGATTGCTCTGCTTCCACGATTCATTAATTAAATTCTAATGTCTGGCAATTAACATTAAAATCAGCCACTGAGTGAGGAACAGCACTTGAATTCATCTGCGGAGTGGCCTGCGCGAATGGCTTGATTGTAAGTGTTTCTCTTGCTGGTGTGTTAGTGTTTTTGAATTAGCTCGAGTGCCTATAATGTGTGCTGTTGCACAAGTGTCGTGCACACTTCACTCCGTGCTCATCTGCATGCGATAGAAACCGCGAGCGATCACGAAAGCAGTGAGAAGCCCAATAACTACTTTTTGTTCATTTGTAAATGTGTTCAGCCTCGTGCTCAAATGAACCCTTGCGTCCAGCAAGCAAACAGTGTGTGTTTTGCGTGCGCATGCACGTCTCTCTGTGTCTGTGTTCTGCATGTTTCATTAACCCATCCCCACGTGTGTGTGTGAGTGTGTGTCCACTGACCACTTAATTTAGATTTCTCTTTTGAACCCGTGTGTTTGCGCAGCTCCGCCCCAGTTCGTGGTGCGTCCGAGGGACCAGATCGTGGCTCAGGGTCAGAGTGCCACCTTCCTCTGTGAGACGACGGGGAACCCACCCCCTGCCGTGTTCTGGCAACGGGAGGGCAGTCAGGTAATGCGGCGCTGGTGCAGTTACAATACGGAAACCGCAATTAGGCGCAGGGAGCATAATTCCAGTCGTAAAAAATACGTGCGTCGGACTGAAATTGAACGAATTTTGTTCGAGGGATACATTTCACGTAATTGTTTGCCAAAATCTGATTTCGTTTTCTGAAAACGATGCCAATTTATTCTCTTGGGGTGTTGTGTTTTGGGGAATTATGAAAGTGATATAATTAGGTGGGAGAAAAACCTGAGTAATGAACGTACGAAAACAAAAGCGTATTAAATCTTGAAACCCAATGTGTTTTGCGGTAGTTGCAGGAAAAAAACACGAGGGAAGGGATTATGGTTAAGCTGTTTAGGTTTTCTTTTTATGCGAATGGTTTGAATTAATGAAATTTAATCCATGCGATGCTTTTCACAGCATGTATTCATTCCCACACTCAACGCTTTTCTGAACCCACGAGCCTCATTTTTCAAATCGTGTGACCTTCCGTCACGAGCCGCAGTTAAGCGTTCACTTGGTACAAAAGGCAGCCATCCACATGACCCTCATGCAATCCCCTTCCTGCCTCCACCCACCAAACACCCTGCAGAATCTGCTGTTTCCAAACCAGCCATCCCAGCCGTCGAGCCGATTCTCGGTGTCCCAAACCGGCCACCTCACCATCACGGACGTACAGCGCTCGGACTCGGGCTACTATACGTGCCAGGCACTCAGCGTGGCCGGCAGCATCCTGGCCAAGGCGCTGCTGGAGGTCGGCGATGGTGAGTGACCTCACACTTCTTCTTCTTCTTGGTTCTTTCGGTAAAGTCACGTGGAAGGGAAGTAATAAAATAATAAAAATAAAACATAATAAAATAATTCTCACGACGATTCGGCCACAACGCAAGCAGCCGTCCTCAGGTGAAGAATGAAACACCACCAAGCTTGGAGCGTATGGCTCCAAGCTTATGGCTCCAAGCTTGGTGGTGTTTCATTCTTCACCTGAGGATGGCTGCTTGCGTTGTGGCCGAAACGTCGTGAGAATTATTTTATTATGTTTTATTTTTATTATTTTATTACTTCCCTTCTACGTGACTTTACCGAAAGAACCAAGAAGATGAATCCCTGCAGTCACGAAAGCTGTGAATCGAAATTTGACCTAACACTGCTCGGCTAATGTCTTCCTGTATGTAAAAGTGTGTGTGACGATTATCGGAGCTGGTCCTGGACCTCCCCTAGGTTGACTCAGCCTCAAATGAATACCTGGTGCGATGTGTAAGCATCGCCACTGGAGAGACAAAGCAGCCGGGCGTGGTGCTGACCACCCACCCCCTCGAGTGCTATGGTGGCCTTCATAGGTGCTCGCTAAACAGCACTTGCCCCAAAAGTTTGTTACAGGCTATACAGGGGATCTTTGCTTTATTCTTTGTGTTTGTGTATGCTTGCCTGCGTGTGCTGGGTAATGAAATTGATCCATTCATCATTCACACCAGTCTTGTAAACCCACAGCACCTGGGTTTGTCCTATGACTGTCCGATTCCACGTTGGTCTCCACATACACCTAGCCTGGCGCAGAGACAAGTGACGATGTCGTTGCCACTTAGTGGAAAATGGTTCTTGTGGTTTTGTTGATTCATGTGCGATTTTTGACCAAGTACAAAACCATTGTTATTCGTGGTCTTTGATACCCAGCTCATATTTCTTTGTAGTTCTGCCATGTATCGTTAAAATACAGGCTTTCTATCCATGCAGCGATGTTGAGTGCTTGTGTGTGAGTACATTACTCCAGTTGCACTTTGGCAGGCTACTTTGGTCACATTTTGGAGCACTTTTACTGTTAGACGTGCGTAATGAGAATAGGGAGAGAGAAAATGTTTCGTGTGTGTATTTCCTGCTCATTTCATAGAAAAACACACCCATGCTTTTAACATCAATGATACCTGTAGTGGTACATGGCAGGTTAGAAGCCCTGATGGATCGTCCGGCGAGCATGACGCGATACTGATGAAAAATAAACACGGCATCCTTTTAGCAATCACCATGCATCCAGTATTCGGAGGCAGCTGCCGCAGCTGCCTCCGAATACTAAACGCAGGCACTGTGAATGAAACATTCAAATTCACGGAAAGTGCACAGACATTATCAAAGGACACTTCACACGACCCGCTAAAAGCGCTTTGTGACGAGTGTATCTTTTTTTATTTAATGTAGAGTGGATTACTATAGTTATGTATTTTTTTGCTTGTATTTTTTCACTCGCTGTTGAAATGCGGATACATTTCACGGGGTGCGATGGAGATGTGATGCGTGATTAATAGTGGTCATGGGGGCGGCAACGGGTCATGAGATTTTCTGATTTGCTGTTCAGATATAGAGTGGGCTTCGCGTGGTCACTCACAGGAAATGTTCAACCGCTGCTATTTTACTAAAACAAACTGGCAATGTGCCACTGCAAAGACAACAATTAAAAGAAAAATACAAATTGTGATAATTGGTTTTTTTACCCTTCTATCTGGCAACCAAACTGACACCTTTTTTTACAAGGAGTCATGTTTACATAGACCACAATACCTGCAGTCATAATGCAAACAAAAAACATCACTCTGATAATGTGCACTGTCCTTGAAGTTGATTGGTCCACACCCGAGACAGCTTTCCTTAGAGCCTAGTCTCACATGGGTTGGACCAGATGACGCCAAAAGGCGCACAACTCAAAGACAATGCACCATCAGAGTATGAGAGCTCGGGGTAAGCATTTACACCAATACAAATTGTGTTTCCACATAGATCATGAAATGGTACGATCTAACAAAAAATATATGTTTTCAAAGTTAAGTAAAAAAAAAGAGAAATAATGGCCACCCCGAGCCCATGTTAAGATACTGAGCCACTGCCAACAGGGATATCACGAGGGTTGCTACCTGTCCCAGGAATAGTCTGTGGCAGTTTCGCAGTGGTCCTGGGATCGCTGTCTTTTCCGCTTAGACAAATGAGAGACAAAACAATGTTCCGCACTCGTTTAGAAAGAGCTCTCATGCACTTTGAGTTTTCATTGACTCAGCTCACTCACAAAAGGAGCCTGTCACACACTTGGCAACTGCAGTTGATTTGGTTGGCAAGTTGATGCGCTGGAGAGAGTTCTGCGTCTAATTTGCTTTTCGTCATTCCTGATCGCCACTTGCTTTGCAATGGATAGCGAAAAAAAGTTAGACCCATTTTTTCCATCATACATATGTGGTATAACTGTTCCACTATAACATGTAAGGATGTAATAACCTAATCCTGAAAATCTTTACATCGTAGCATGCGTAACGTTTAATTTGCAGTAGATAACACGATTTGATAGTTGTCCACATTCGCTATGAATCTAAATAATAGCCCTCTAAGAATGGATAAATTCATTGGATGAAAATACATTTCTATGCTCACAATACAATGCGTCCAATCGTGTGTGAAAATCAAATATTCAAAATTCCTACGCATTGTATGCAATTGATTAACGCGTCCCCTGCAGACACTTGAGGTGCTACATTCACCACAACGTTAATAACAATTCAACAACATTGATATGTGAATCCAGTTGTCACCGTGCATCACGACTATTCAAACGAAGCAGGGAGCTTTAGTTGCATTAAAACCGCTGGGCACTTGAAAGCAACCGCAACCATCATTGTACTTTGGCACATACTGCTGCCCGTTTGTCAATCCACTGCTGGATGAGGGCCTCCCCCACGCCATGCCTGTCACGGGGATTATTTGACCACACTTGATCAGTCGGTGTTGGCGAATGTGGCGAACACAAAAGTGGGAACACAGACGTACTAGTACAGAAAATTATTTTTTCTGCACTGCACTCTGCTGACGACGTGACCGCCCCCGCCACCCCCGAAATCGCCTTCACCGGGTGTCTAACCAACGCTGTCGTCCCTCCCGCAGCCCTGGCAGACAGCCCGCCGCCCATCATCCGGCAGGGCCCCGCCAACCAGACGCTGGCCGTGGGCTCGGTGGCACTGCTGGCCTGCCAGGCCATGGGCATGCCCACTCCCAGCGTGCACTGGCTCAAGGACGGCAGCAAGCTCAGCCTGGGCAGCGCGCGACTCGCCTTGCAGTCGGGCGGCACGCTGAGCATCAAGGACGTTCAGGTAGGATAACATTCGTTGTCCTGTTTAGTGTGTTGTCTTTCAATCGCACCTCCGATTAGCACGGTGAGGGGCCTACATTAGAAGGAGCTCTACGGAGTCCTCTAGGGGGTATTTTTGGCCTACTCTTCCACGCTGGCCCAGACACCGTGCAAGATGAGGGAGTACCCAACTTTTACCCCTCCACACCTGACCTGCTGATCGACTAACTGCGGCGTACCGATCCATGCTGCTGGGTGGACAGCGACGGGCAGACAGGATTTAAGAACCTTGCCCATTGGGAGATCCTTCTGGCAATATCTTGATTGCAAGTCAGACGTGCAAACTATTACACCACGGTAACATACCATATTAAGAACACTAATGTTTACAATAATAATGCTTTCTCATCAATGTGGTGCGATTTCAAGCATGCACAGGACATGCTAAGTACATACATTTGACTGTTAGGAAGAGTAAGTGGGCTGATCGCCCGGAGGCAAGAATAACTACTGAGTGACAACCGAATGACGTGGGCACGTACCACACTTTCTTGTGCAGTTACTGAGGAGGTGGTCTTGTTCTTCCTCTTCATCGCAAAGAGTGCCTGGGATGTTGTGAGTGGATGAAGGATTCTTCAAAGCACTGTGGGATGAATTGTGCGGTACTCTGCTTGAGCACTCCAGTGCGCCACACAAGAGGTGTGCATTTACCAATCGACTCGGACGAGAGTGACGTAAATGTACCCGTGTATAAGTATACAGAATTACTTAACACCAAAGTACACTTAGGCGTGCTCACACTCTTCAAAAGCCCATGCACGGAATGATGCAATTCCGACGTGAAAATCCATTGCAGCCTTTTCAAATGAAATGAAAAGTAAATGCGGCCCTCGAAGTGAGTGTGTTCAAACACTAAATTTAAACAGACCGCGCGCCACTAGCCTGATGACCCCCGCCTCCCCCCCAACCAACCCAGCATTGCGTATATGCCGCGACTATTATGGGATGTTGTCGGCGAGTAGCAGGTGTGGTGGCGACGTACCACAGGCTATGATTGAATGCAGAGCTACAGGTGATTAACGTTAGAGAGGAGGGAGGGCAGGTTACAGCGGGGGTGGGGGGGGGGGCACGTGGGTACACGACCGCCTAGAGGTGACTGTCGGCTTCAATCAGTCACTGGCGGAAAGGCCCCGCCACTTTTTCCCTTGCAAAATTCGGCCACACGCAGCCACCTCTGCCGTCCGTGTTGTGGATAAACAAAACGAATTTTTAAGGAAGAAGCGCATGAAAATAATGATTGCTGGCACTGCTTGCCGGTAAATGTTAATCGATGGCTTGGAGTTAGCATGTTATCCTGTTAATGTAATCATTCTGTCACATTGCTGGAGGCATAGCTGGCTTTCAAAATGGATCCGTCACACGTCGGGCCATAATAATGATGCACGACAACATTTTTTCAGCCTCTTAATTAGGATTGCAGTAAGGCCCAGAAGCAGAGCCCGCGTGGCGAAAATGGATATCGATTGAGAGAGCGAGAGAGCGAGAGGGTGAGAGAGAGAAAGAGGGCGGGGAAGAGATGGAAGTTTAAAAAAAAAAGAGAGATAGAGCGAGATGGTTGGATAGGGAGAGATATAGCGGGAGAGGTGGCTGGAGGTGTAGGTCGCTACATTTTATTTCGCCCTCTCTCTTCTTCTGGCAAGCCTTTTACAAAATCCCCCTCTGGTCCAGACCCAGCCTTACACACCTAGCCCTTCGTACCGCACGCTTGCTGAAAGCAAAGCGTTTGTGTTCCGTTGGAATGTCAGGCCCAGCAAGTTTGAGTGATTAAGACGGGAGACCTTGCTCGCAAAAATCGAACTCTCTGAAATGCATTGGCCGTCTGGTTTTGATGGAGGTAAACCTGCACTGTTTGTGATATATATTTTTTAACGTAGTCATTCCTTTATTCAAAATGTATTTTAAAATAACCTTGCACGTTTTGAAGACAAATTGTATCATAATGGGACGTTGAAGCTTCAAAGAGGGAAAATATAATTTGTATTTATTTCATCAGTCTTTTTTTCTGATAGCATTGCCTTCTGTTTAGCAGGACAAAGAATAGATAGAGCCACATTTGCTAATGAATATAAAACAAATTGCTCTGTGGTGTGCTGATAGGATTTCTCATTGTAGATCTGTACATTAAAGCCGCATCAACCTCACACATCAACAGAGTGTCTGTGTTGTTCCATTTCTCTGTATGATCTCGGGTGTGTTTTTTTGTTTCTTCATTTATTTTCAAGCTTTTTTTGCGCTGCTATTTTGGGAAGCAGGCTATTACAGAAGCCAATATTGGTTTGGGAATATTACAGGAAAGTCGATAGCCTTGTTCCTAAACGGGAGACTTGGAGGCAGCGTATATCTCCTGGCTATGTTCGCTGTAAGCGCACACGCTGCTTTGTTGGGCCGGGGAGCACTTTAGCTGCAGGGGATTTTTTGATACCTGTGAAATGAGCTTTTTTTTTTTTGCGGCCACATAATTGCGTCGCTAAATCTCTCCGTCCCCCCCCTCCCTTGCCAGCTCATGGATGCCGGCCTATACACCTGTGTTGCGGTGAGCCCCAGCGGGGAGACAACGTGGAGTGCCTTCATGGACGTTCAAGGTATTCGTTGCTTTTTAGCACAGGGGTCATGGGGAATGTGTGCTGTGTTAACGGGAACAGAGGAGTTCAAGGCATAGGAGATCGACTCCTACCTATGAGCTGCTGTCAATGCAAGGCCTGTAACGGTTAAGATTTTGGGGTGACGATTCAACACTAAAATAGTTTTTTATTACAAAATTCACATCGTGGTGCGTTGTAGCGCAGCTCGTGGCTGCAGAGGTCACATGAACTAATGAAATACAATGTATACAAATAAAAAAAATATTCTCACATGCATGATTCAATCCTTGTATCCTGAGCGTAAGAATCGATCACAAACAATACATTAATACCTAATTTCACCCTGAGTTAATACCCTCCAGACAGAAGACACTCCTCGGCGTTAACTTGGCAGATATTGTATAAATCTCCCGCCTTGTCTTTTCATTGCCGTTCCACGAACACTTTGTTTACAACCGCACTTCTGAAATGTGAACCGTGACAGGCTGCTGTTGGCATAGTAAATTGTGCTGTGAGTGCTCCGAGCCAGACAGTGCGATATGTTGGAATGCGGTGGAGAATTTTGATGTGCTTTATTACCGCTGGGCCTCCTGCATCGTACTGCCATGTGAGCGACTCTCCCACCATCTCCAAGCCATTCCCCCTCCCGTTCCCATAATCTTCTTGCAACTTCACTCTTAAGTGCCCCCCACCTCCCTACGAAGAAAGAAGGAACTTGGTTTCTCTGTGCGGTTGTGCTGTCGCACCGCGCGCATTAATTGGCCAAATTAAATTCAGGCTGCCTTCCTGATCGAGTCAGGGGAATTATCCTCCCTGAGCTCCTAGCCCTGCCACGCGTACCTCACTAACCAGCCCTCGGCTGCCACGCAAGTTGGAAATGTCATCTTAGTGTGCCGCATCAAATATTCATGCATCTCTGCCTTGTCCCCCCCCCACCCCCCGTGAAGGCGGGGATGTGGGAAATGGGAATATAGGCGAAGCGCCACCTCCATTCCGCAATTTGTAAAATTTGATTTCGGGGGCAGCTTCCACGAGAAAAAGGGGAGCAAGGGCTCTGAGCTGACCAGCAGACCTCGGCTTTGGTCTTGGGATGGAGACGGAGGGGAAAATGTCGCTGGGGAAAGTGGGAAGGCTCGAGAGGGAGACGAGGATAGATGGTGGGCCAGCGAGAGGGAGGATTGTGCCACGTAAATTAAAATGACGACACACGCTTTCCAAGCAAACCGTGCAACTGCTCTTTTTTTTTTACCCTAACAGTCGCGAAAGCCCGCATCGTCGTCAAAAACGAGACTCTCACAGTTGTAAAAGATAGGTAAATTGAGTTAATTGCATTGAATGTTAATTTGTGTCAGGCAGCTGTTATCTACAACAGTATTACGGAACAGTTTCATTCAAGTGGGAGGTACTACTCCGGTCCGGTCTTTGCTGTCCGATGTCATGTCAAATGACGATCGGAATGTCTGCAACCGCGTTCATGGTTATGCCGCACGAACAGGACCCATTTTAGCACCTCCCACGGGAATGGAGCCCAAGTTGACGTGCGCTGTGTCTTCTGCTACTGTACCACCACTTAATCTAGAGGGTCTTGCACTACACATACCAACACAAAGATACACTATGTTTTAAGTGAACAAGGGGATAATCATTGTAACCTGGAAAGACTGCAAAGCCAGGTGAGTAGCTATTCAAGTCAATGCAGCAGCACTTGTAGGTTCGGTGATTCTTAGTGCATCCAGAGTTGATTATGACACGTAGCACCAGGTATTCGTTTAGGCTGTCAGCCAAAGGGCCAAGTTCACTAAAACAGTTGTCACTGGCATATACGCAGTGACCGTAAATGAGCCCACGTCGCTGATATTGTAGCACAGCACACAAAACCAGTGCGGAGACCAGAGGAAACTGTATGCAGCGCTTAATTTCACAGTCGATATTTTCCGCAACACGTGATGTCACATGAGTCATGTGATTTGATGTCGCGGGCATTTGAGTGTCCTTATTAAAGACAGTTCATCTAAAGGACCCGAAAGTTAAACGTAAGTATTGTACTGTGTTTAAGGGCATCTGGTCACCCCAAGCCAATTTCATTCAAGTTTTTTCGCACACACCACCGCAGTGTCATAAGGACACAATAAGGTGAGATGGATGCAGCCTGCCAAAATAATTCCTGATATGGCGTTTTGGACTATTCTAGCCAATATCAAGCATTGCCTTATAGCCATACAGAAGTTTGGGGAATGTGCTGTTCGGAAGCACCTATTAAAGCTGGGACAGCATCAGATCCAACCACCATTGTCTCCCCAGTACTGAGATATATAGCATCAGCACTCGTTTAAGGCGAAGTTGACCTAGTGGAAGCCCGTTACAGGTTTCCTATACCACTTGCCACTGACGTTATCTATGAATGTGAATTGACCTCTAGTAGCGTAATTTTCTAACACAGAACGCTAACTACTCAGCCACAATGTGTGTATTTGTGGCCGCACACAAAGAGACAATGACAAATACACTTGTTAAATTCACTATCAAGAACAAGGTGCCCTTTTGACAGATGTTATAAACAAACAAGCATTGGGATGGATCAATCTGGCCTGTCCATCTGACACTGAGTCTATCCGTCACAGGTCACGCTGCACAGCTATGCCAGGTCTGGTCTGGCCAGGGCAGTCCCGGTTTCAGAAAAGGTTGTCCCAGTGTCCTGGAGAATTTGCAATAAAGTAAAATAAAAAATTCCAACTTTTTAATGTTCTGACCTCATGCTCGACTCCCTGTGTCGGTGGGGCTGGTGACTGAGTGGGCGTAGTTGTCAAAGTAGGCGGGTTCAATAAAGGAAGGGGATGGCAGTTCGGTGCCAGGTGTCCAGGTTGAGCCGCCGAGAAATGTGGTTGGTCATCGTGGCCAAACATCTCATGCGATTTAGTTGATTTCTTTCTTTGATTTCTATTTGCACTACTGCTGTACTTTATTAACATCATGCTAATCTCTCACATTAACATAGCCACTTCCGTACCCAGTTACATGCTAATTTCTCACATGAACATCACTAGATCCAGCCACTTCTTTATGACCCTTGGGCTACACCCATTTCAAAACTTTTAAAACAGTCTGCCTCAGCAGCAGACCATGCTTTCCCACCTGATGACGGACGATTGTGTTGCGCCCAAAACGTCGTGATCTATTTTATTTTATACCTACGTGACTTTACCGAAAGAACCAAAGAGTATGGATTCCTGCAGTCACGAAAGCTTCAAATCAAGATTGTACTTTATTTGTTTCACTTTTGTCATTGTGACAATCTTACCCTGGTTTTCCCGAGTTCTCCCCTGGTTACACCAAATCAACTTGCCTTGAACTTAACGCCTATCTCTTCCGTGGCAGAGAACGGCGTGCCGAGCCAACCCCAGCCGCCTGAACCATCTTCACTGGCCGCACCTCCGTCCAAGCCGCGGGTCACAGACGTCACCAAGAACACAGTGACGCTGTCCTGGCAGCTGCCTGAGCCGACAGGCCCCTCTCCCATTTTGTACTACATCATCGAGGCCTTCAGGTAGGCCTCCGTTGTGGCTGCATTGGGGCTGGCTTTTAGATTGACACAATATGAGGTGCAAAAAGCCAGGACACATCATGAAAATAATGTTAGCTAAAAATAACAGAGAAGGGGATAATTACACGTGAAAGTGTTGCCTTGTATTTTGTTAATTGTTATGCAACTGACAAAAAAGGGCACTTTTAATGTCGTGGAAAGACAGATTTCTCAGGACAAGCACCTCAAAAAGAGAACAATCCTGGGAAAACCAGGACAGGCGGCAATATGCAAGCGGTCTGCAATTTTAAAACATCGTGGTTTGGCTTCCTTTTTTACATGTTTTGATATTCGTTTTGGTAGAGCTGGATCATTGTCGGTGAAGCTCACTTGAAGTAGCTGTTTGCGAAGGGATTTTTATCCTATTTCGGCATGTAAATGAGACATTAAGGACTCCGTGACAATTCATAATACAAAGGTATTACGTGCTGGTGTCATGAAAGTTTAAGTAATTGTATTATGCATTTGCCAGGGTTACAAGACCCTGCATTAGACTAGGTATTTTCCCCCACAGAGCATTTATTAAATAATTGTGTGTTTATTATGGGAAGATGTAATTTGGCGAGATGGTAACTACATTGCCTGGTATACAGGAGGATGTGGGTTCTATTCCGACCCTGATGCCTGTATATTTGGAGTTTGCATGTCATCCGTGGATTTTTCTCGAGGTCCTCTGGTTTTTCCCTCCACATTTAGAATCAACGTATGTATTAGAGTATTTGGCTCCTATACATTCCCACGTGATAAGCCATTTCGTTGACCTATCATTTGTGGCCAGGTAACTTCTGAAAAAGAGCTACAGAGCTCGGTGGGCCTTACCTGGTAAAATAAAAATATGTAGTTTTGTTTATCGTTCAGTTTGAGAGATTACAAGATAAATAGGTTAAAGGTCAATGTGTAGCCCTGCAATTGCTTCCTCACGCCACTGCTGAAGGAAGGGCTTCCACTAGGGGGAGCTCTTCAGAGAGCCTCTCTGGAGAGTATTTTGGCCCAAAGTCTCGTAAGAGATGGGAGTACCGACACTTTACCCCACCACACTTTACACCACCACACTTTACCACACCACATTTTTCGCCACCACACTTTACCCTGACGAACTCTGGTTAACCCATTTCGACTGCTAGGTGGACAGAGGCGGGGGTTGGGGGAGGCAGGGATTTAAGATCCTTGCACCGTTGTTTCATCTGTCGTGCCAGGAGGTTGAACTCCGCGACCTCTTGGTTGCGAAATCAGTGGCGGAAAGCAATTGCAGCACCCTGTCAAGATACTATCACTAAATGATACACGTAACTTTTATTTTTGTTGTTTTTGGAAGAGGTTCTATGCCCCCTTGTTTTGACGTGCCTTTGTTTTCAAATACATTAGCCATTGCTGAAATTCGGTTGATGAGATAACGTTTGTGTATTTAAAATGTTACTTTGTTTTTTTACAATGTAACTGCAATAAGCAATGTACTGCATTTCACCAGTTGATTGATTGAAGAGTAAACACGAGCGGGTTTAATGATAGGAAAATCCCTTCTCATTAAAAGCTTTTCTTTAAGAGTTGCACACATGGAAATTGCAACGCAATTCTCTGATGGAGACTGTGATTGCAATATTGTTCCTCGTTCACAATAGCCCCAGAGAAATTGTTTTATTTTGTGTTGCCACACGATCGAAAAGGATGCGAGTTGAAAGCCTGCTTGGAGGTTGACCCAGCCCATCATCCCTCTGGGGTCGATACAAAAAAATAAGTACCACTTCGTGGGGAAGTCAACAGCGTTTTTTTATACAGATAGACTTCTTCTGCCCCCAACCCCCTGCAAGCATAGGAATTTACAATTTCCCCCACTGGCTCAGGGCTGTATCGCCTCGATGCTCGTTTGAGGAGTAAACCACGTTAACGCTGACGAATGCGCATCTGCACATTGGACTGCGTAAGTCGTAAGTGCCATCTGAGTCTCAAACCATGTTTAAATTATAATTTACTTACAGCCCTTTGCCAATTTACTGATGGATGGATGAAGGTGCTCCCCCACATCGTGTTGGTCACAGGGGGGTTGGTTGATCGTACTTGAATATGTCTAGATGAAAAGGACAAACAAAACTCGACAAGTGAGAGGTGAAAACGGGAGGGACAATATTAACGAGATGGAATAAACGAGACAAAAGAAATTGGAGAAAATCAAGACCCTGAATCATTCGTCAAATTTATGGGACAGTGCATCATTACATTCCTGTGCGCCAATCAAGATCTTAAATCCCTTCCGAGTCTTCCTTGTTGTTCAGCCGGTGCCATCACAGCGAACCCTTCGCCGGGTGGATATTGAATGGCTCGTGATGAGGACGACGGTGATAATGACAACGCCGTCTGAGCGCTTGCTCGAGAATAATCGGTTTGCCTTGTGCCCTTTGCTCGGGGTCAGCCAATCGGTGAGCACGAGCTGGCAGACGGTGGCGACGCACGTGACGCGCGATGCCTTCACGCTGCGGGGCCTGCGCCCCAACACCATCTACCTGTTCATCGTGCGCGCCGCAAACGCACACGGACTCAGCGACCCCAGCCCCGTCTCAGACCCCGTGCGCACGCAAGGTAACCGCCCGCGTATGCCGACACAAGCCGTGCTGTTCGCGAGCACCTTTTTTCAGGCCCGGCATGGTGCACGAAAGACGGGGCAGCACGGCCCAATGGTTACGATCGGCAAACCTTCGTCTCCTCAGTGCTGACGTTTACGCACCTCAGCAGGTATATTTGAGGCTGAGTCGACCCCATGGATGGGGAGGCCCAGGACCAGTTGAGATATTTTCCACTGATGTTAGCCATGAGTTGGGAATCAAACTGAGCTCGCCGGGTTCATAGCCTGTTCACGAACCGCTGTGCCATCGCACCATTCGTACTCATACACACTCACACATATAGGTACATTAACACTCACATGCGCGCACACACACAGGAGCACACACACCAGCAATAACATCGGACACAATAGCCCAGGTGGTGACATACATCATCGTGTTATTTGTTCTCGTTAAGGGCAGTTTATGACAACTGGTGGTGTGAAAATGACTGGGTTCTATTTTTACAATGTAGTGCATTTTCCCTGTTGGTAAAATGAACATATACAGAGACACACAAGTGTACACACATTCACGCATATGCTGACACGTACATTTGCAAATGAGTGCAGTGTTCGTGAGCACCCATTAAGTCCCGGACGACACATAGGTAAGTGGTGTGGCCGGAATAATACCTCTGGCCGCTCGCGCCTTAAACTGGACACCACCACACTAGTTAGTCGTTTTAGACAGGCCCAGAACACGTTCAATTACCAATTGCCACTGATGTCCATCATCATGGTCAATAATTTATTAAGGTTTGCTGTGATTATATTGCTGTGTGCAAACCGCTACGACACCCATCTACTCGCGCGCACACACACACAAATTAGCACAGCACAGGCACACGCACCCTTGGGATGCTGCATGCTTTATTCAAGCTGCCAGGAAATATTGATGAATGTGAGGTCACACGCAATGCAAAGGGACCGGTTTGATTGGCAATTTTGCAACACGAGTCATTTACGAATTGTTTGCGCTTTACGCATCGTGTAAGCAGTTGGAAGACCATTGTTTTCACGCGAGCACACAGTCGCTGGCACACACGGCGTGTTTGTTCTCGTGTCAAGCCCCCGCACCCGCGCTCTGGGTGAAGGCGCCGCATTTTACCGCGCGCGCGAGGAGCGCGTTAGCGCAGCTCCATTATCTGCCTCCGGGCCCGCTGTGGTCTTTTAAGGCAGCGGTGCGCGACTCGGGTCGATTCATCAGCTACGATTGCCCCAAGATAACCTCTGTATATGTGCTAAATGTTTCAAGCATTGTGCGAGTGCTGACGCGGTCCTGCATCCGCGTGGCGCACAAACTCCCCACCCCTGCCCTTGCTGCGTCTTTGATTTATCTTTTTCTCTCTCTCTCTCTCTCTATCTTTTTTTCTCTTCGCACCTTTGGACCCCTTGCTAAACATGTGACTTGCCGGGAATTGTTAGAAAGTGTAACAGGTGGAAACGTAGATCCGGCGATGAACGTGCGGGTGGACTAAAGCTTTTGATCGACCCACCGGCTGTTTGCGACAGACATCAGCCCCACGGGCCAGGGCGTCGACCACCGGCAGGTGCAGAAGGAACTGGGCGACGTGGTGCTGCGCCTACACACCCCGCTCATCCTCACCTCCTCCACCGTGCAGGTCACCTGGACGGTGAGCCACGGTGGTTGCTAGTCGTCGGAAACATTTACCCATCTTGATGTATCCTCACGTCTGTTTGCCTGCACGTCTAACAACCGTAAACATTTTTTTTATTTTACCAGGTCAGCCCCACTGAGCTATATAGCTCTTTTTCAGAAGCGACCTCGCCACTAATGACAGCTCAGTCAGGTGGCTTATTACGTGGACATTTATCGCAGCTGAATACCCACCTAGCTACCTGACCACCTGCCACCCAGCTCTCCTGCCCGATTTTGTTCTTTGACATTATTTTTTCCATTGGAGTTGCACCGAATCTTTCTGAATTGACCCCGGTTGGAATGTTTGGCCAGTCTCTTTGAGTATGCTCTTTTCACGTGAGAAGCCAACACATGTAGGAGGATAACACACCGACTCCACAACAGATAAGTCAGCATTACTCATAGTGGCGTTGCCCTTCGTAAAATGATCTTCGAGATAGCTCTGTGATATCCGCTTCTGCGGGCCAATCTCCAACACGATGGGTTGGTCTGCTTTGTGAGGAACGTGAATGGATTTTTCGTCTCATGACATGACTTCAACACTATCGGGATAACATTGGGGGAAGATGTGTAAAGAAAAAGATTGGTCGGCAGCGTGCCTGCAGTGCTGCTTCAGTGCCCAGCAGCTTGCATGTTTCATGTACAAGGCGCTGGGGCTCTGGCTCGGCACAATCCATATCTGGGCGATGGTCTTTCTGCCACTATACCTTGCGTGTTCTGTATTGTATTTGACCTGAGCTAAAATAAGATTTTCAACAATGGATGAAAGCCGGTTTTGGACTCGGTGTCAGCGCACACAGCTCTATTCACTTATTCCCCATGTTGGAAATTCCTCTGGGCACGGCCTGCCGACCTCCACAGCTCGCAAGGAGGCTGCCACCACAGCGACATCATTTCCTCCCCACTTAACTCCTTCTCTGCCCTAACGACTTGCAGGGAGAGGGGGGGGACAAAAAAAATCACTCAGCTCACACCACAAACACCCCCCTCCACCCTCCTCTCGCTCCTTCCCTCGGGCATTTTTTACCTTCCCCTCTCCCACCAGGTTGACCGTCAGTCCCAGTTCGTGCAGGGCTACAGGCTGATGCACCGGCCGGTGTCCGGCACGCAAGCCCTGGGCAGCTGGCAGATTCTGGAGGTGAAGTCTCCGACAGAGCGCAACGCCGTGCTCACCAACCTCCGCAAGGGGCTCAGCTACGAGATCAAGGTCCGGCCGTTCTTCAACGAGTTCCAGGGAGCTGACAGCGACGTCAAGTTTGCTCGGACGCCGGAAGAAGGTTTGCAAGAAAGAGCTCACTCAATTTCTTTTTTAGACAAAACTGTTGAGTCGCATTAGACCCATTTTGTGGTCCGCTGATCTTAGCTACTCAGTGCCTTTTTCACACACGGATGTTGCCCGACGCATTTGGGGGGAAATGTGTCGTGTGTCTGTGTGCGCCTTTTGTTTAACATTCAATTTGTGCGGTGTCATCCCCCCTACCGTCAACAGCCCCAGATGCACCTCCTCAGGCCGTGACGGTCAACACAATGGGAGGTGGCAACAGCACCAGCATCTCTGTGACTTGGGATTCCCCCCCTGCCGAAAACCAGAATGGACTCATCCAGGAATACAGGGTATACGTTGAAACCTTCTGCCTCAGTGTCTGAAGCTACCAGGGTGATGTTTCAATTTTCTTTGTTTCAACAAAAAAAATGATGCATGTACCCATTAGCAGCCGGTTTGCTTTGTCACCGGTGTTATCAGTCGTTGGTTAGGCTGGTTTGCTCGAACATGAAGCCAAAAAAAATGTACGTGGCGTCACTGTGCTTTCGTATCACGCTTCATATCCCACGCTTTTTTTCATGTTCGCAAAGGAAAAAAAACGTACAAAATTAAAAACCTCCTCCTGAGGAAATACAATTACACAGGTCTGCGGATGTCAGTGGACACTCCCAACTGGTTAAACGAAGGAGTCTGCTCGGCTTATTAAATTGCAGCACCTTACGGCGCCCCCTTTCACGTTAAACGGCGCGGATGAAAATTTACGCGGTGGCTTGAAGTAAGCTTCACACGCATCGACGGGACGCGGAAGCCGCTCTATCAAAAATTGAACGCAGCAGGTCTTTGGCGACTCCCCCGCGCGCTACCACGTGCCAAACTTTCCTATTGTCAGGCGATTTTTTTATATATATATTTATCAATATGTGTTTTGAGTGTTTGGTTGCTATAAATTTCCACACGATGAGTCACTCACTTGAGCTATCATTTGTGACCGGCTCGCATTTAAAAAAGAGCATTAAAGCTCAGTGAGCCTTACCTGGTGAAATATTTATATATATATATATCTCCCTCACCCCCTAACGGACAGGTGTGGTGCCTGGGCAACGAGACGCGCTTTCACGTCAACAAGACGGTGGCTGCATCCGTGCGCTCGCTGGTGCTCAGCGGGTTGGTGCCGGGCGTGCCGTACCGTGTCGAGGTGGCGGCGGCGACCGCCGCGGGCGTCGGCGTGCACAGCGAGGCCCGGGCCATCCAGCTCGGTGAGCGGCCATGACACACAAAGTGCTTTCAACAAACGAACCACAATACCCTGGCTGATCTCGTCAAGGGGCAGGAAACCATCATCACGCGAACTCCGGTCATCCTTGCAGCAGCGGCGGCTTTTGGCTGGCCGTCGAACAAAGACGGTCACCACGTCGCGCGCTTTCAGACGCGCTTCCATGGCCGTCTGGAACGCTCTTTCCTTCCGATATTAGGAAGCCACTGGAGCTATGAACTTTTAAATAATCTCGATTGGAAACAGTTTTTTTTGGAACTGCTTTTTGTGTTTAGTTTGTCGTCCTTTCCCATTTGGATACATACGGTGCAAAAGAAGTTCAACACGCATACATCCACGAAACCCTCCGATCGCAACACTTCCGCGCGAACGATGCTCGTGCCCCGAATGCCGGCACCGTGCCTGCACAGGAGGCGTTGGGAAGGCATGGCCCGGAGCACCATGATAGCAGCCGTTCTGTCCAGCGTGGAGATAATTTTATACTTTTTTTGCAAAATGTATAAGTTTATTTGGTGTGCTTGGGGTTGCTCTAAATTTCTCATTGGTAAGCCACTTCGTCTCACGATCATTTGTGGCCAGGTCGCTTCTGAAAAGAAAGAGCTACATAGCTCAGTCGGCCTTACCTGCCAAAAAAACATTAATATCTATAAAAAAATGTTTTTTGTCGTGATTCGCGATTTAGGAATTTAACGGCATGTTTTCGTACAATTCATTGCTGAGTCTTGAAGACTCGCATTCACCGTTGTCCTGCCTTGGCATATTTCACCAATTTTATTTCATGAGCGGCTTTTACCTATTTTGTGGGTTGGTGAGGGGAAATTGGAGTGACCAGAGGAAATTTGCACGAAATATTGGGGGGGGGGGGACCCTTAACTCTACACGGATAGGTCAGGAACCTGATTACTGTGCTTTCATGCATGAGGCCTCTCTGCATGGTTCACCAATCCTGCCTTCAGGTTGCTGGAAGATGATGATTTGTTGAAAGCGTTGCAAAAGAATTTGCCTGTTTTATATAGGTGGTGCATGATCACCAATGTCTCAGCATTTATTTTCAGTTCAGTTCATATAGTTGCGTGCGTATGTTTCGTGCACACAGGAGGTTTTGTTTGTTTTGTTGTGTTTCTTAATCTGGTTTTAACTCAAGCAAAAAGCATCGCACCTGCAATTTAAAGGAAATTAACTTGGCTTTCATGTACGGCCACCGTGCCTTCCCTTAATCAAGACAAACATTCTCTGGTACAATCTGTGACACCTGGTCATATTAGGTGGCCAATGTAGACCCGGAAAAAGATTACCTTCCCGCCAGCAATCAAAGCGTGTATAAATCTTCCATGGGTCTTAAGAAATATGCTTTTTTTTTATTCGGTGCCAATCGATGGAGAGTTGAAGGCTCATGTCGGCAGCACCGTTTTTTGATTTACGACACTAACTTCACCGGTAGAAAGCCATGCGCTCCAACTGATCACCGCCGGGCTTGAAGCACGGTACGTGCACCTGAATTGAGATTTCAGTCAGCGTTTGTGTATTGGGTTTTTTTTTGTGTTGTTGTTTACGTCTCTTTTTATGTTTGGAAATTGGGTGGTAATAAACATTTTTTTGCCGTGGCCAAGTGACCCAGGGTTTCCTGTCACCGCCACCACCGCGTCTGGACATGTGCAGTTTGCTCTGCCGTGAAATTGATTACTTTTTTTTTTGGCGGGTGGGTGGCGTGGATATCATGAGGTGAAATTATCCCGCGGATTACGTGAGCGCACCGGGGGGAAAGGGAAAACGATTTATGTGCAAAAATCAAAGGTGAAGCGTTGGCTATATGGAGCACACGTCTGTGTGTGTGTGTATATATATCGTGTGTAGGCACCCACTCGAGTCTTTATACATTCGAGGTTTGCTTGCCTCCTGCAACGACTCACATTTATTGAAATAGATTTCCGTGGTGGTTATCAGTGTAACTACAGATGGGGCATGAGAAGAATTGATAGGGATTTTTTCGGATGCACTTAATTCTTGAGCCAGAACAACAAGCCCTTTCGAAGGCAAACTAACGATATATAGATGCACACATAGGCAAGCAGTGGCAAGACTGGGGCTCTGCTGCCTGCCACTCCTGGTTGCAATAACCTCTCTCGTTTTTTATTTTGTTCACTAAAAGGGAATTTAATAATAGATGTGCACTGTAATTAAGAGGTGACAGTAAAGGATGGCAGGTAATATTAGAAGCACACGCAGTTGTGATTAGACATTCTTGAAACAGCGCACGCTTGCCAATTTCGTTCTGTGCACAGTAATTGTAACATAACAACGCAGTTATTCTGCTGGTTTATTCAATATGCCGGTAATTTGCCAGAATCTTAACACTTGCAGGCAAAATAAGAAAGGGGCCTTTTCAATGAATTGTTTACATTTTGTGTGCTCATGTGTGTGTGTGCGCACGCGTGCGCGTGTGTGTGTCTGTGTTTCTTTGTAGCTTCGTTGTGTTTCTACGTTTGTGCGTGTGTTTCTTCGTGTATATGTGGGTTGCATAATACGGGCGAAACAAAGACAATGGCGACAGGAAATTTCACCCGGCCCCAGCGTCGCCTATGAGCTGACAGAAGCTGACAGAAGGAACAGGTGATGATGATGATGGTGGCGTGTGTGCGTGTGTGTGTTTCCCCGCGCCGCCCTTGCCATCGCGGGGCGACAGAGCCCGTCGGCGGAGGCATCGTCTCCATGCAGCCCGGCAGCAACGTGAGCCTTGCCGGGCAGATATCCGACGTGGTCAAGCAGCCCGCGTTCATCGCCGGCATCGGCGGCGCCTGCTGGGTCATCCTCATGAGCTTCAGCGTGTGGCTCTACTGCCGGCGCAAAAAGCGCAAAGGACTCAGCAACTACGCCGGTACGCCTTTTGCCAGGCAGACCCGGTCCCGTGCATGCGTGCGTGCCACCACCGCGTGGTGGGCTCGTGTGCGGGCGGTGGTGGCATGCTCGCCCTTTCAATCACTGCACTCGCATCCCATAACTCTGAGCTTTTTGGTTCAGCGCTGGGCTTGCCGTTATGGCCACCCCTTCTTTGCTGGGATGTTGGACCACGTGTGCAATTTTGACCGCCAAGCCCACCTGCCTTCACCTTGGCAAGCAGCTGTTACGCCCACTCCAACTTGCAAGCGTCTGCCCGAGCTCCTCCGGTTGCATTTTACCAGAGTTGCGTTTTAATGCACTTCCCCATTAAAATATTTGCCACATTGATTTTTTAAATGACTAGTAATATGACTTCCTCAGCATAAGTGGTAGCTTAATGTGGCAATAATAACTGCAATATTGAATTATTTGCTGTGCACTTCTGAAAATGTTCAACAAGGAGAATGTTCTGTATTTTTTATTCTCTTAAGTATCCCTGAATTGTGCTTGGAGTGTAGCTGAATTGGTAATACAGCAGAACTCCCAATCGTGCAACTGTCTGTGAGTTAAAATCCTATTAAGATGCTGGAAAGGGTCACCTCAGTCCATTCTCCTCTGCGATCAGTCATTTGTCCTGTGGATATACATGCCCTTGCCAAGGTAACGTAGGTTTTTTCCTGCTACCTTCTTAAGACCTCGAAATGATAATGGCCATTGCTCAATGGCAATTAGATCACGAGTGCGGTGCCTCTTTGGGCCTCAAATTGTATTCTCCCAAAAAATCCATTTCAATTATTATCAATTTTGTTATTGGCCACGAGCTTCATGCCACGCATAATGTACCTAACGGGGCCTTATTCGACGAGTACTCTGCATGTGGTTAAGCTTGAACCCTGTTAAGCGCCTCGGAGGGCGGTCACGGTTGGAGGTCAAGCCGTGAGTGCGGCGGCGGCTAAAACGCGTGCCGCATGGCTCACCACCCTTGACCCGTGTTCACACCCAATATCTTGCCGAGGAAGATTTATGTACGCGACAACTCTTCCGCTGCAGCACCGCAAGCGGATAAGCGACCGGCCGTCCTAATTGTTGTCGGATGCGGCTCTCGTCGGGGAATCTGTGCAGTTGGGCCTCGGGTTGGGACTGGGCCGGGGGGGGGGGGTGGGGGAGGCGGTCGGTCGGGTGCCAGGGGGAAGGAATGGAAGTGGGAGTGATGTGCCGAGCTGATGTATGAGGCAGCAGCAAAAAAATCAATGGTGCGGCGTTATTGCCGATAAACCAAAAAAATGGCATGGTCGCCCCGTGCAGCCGCACCTGTCCCTGTTTATTTGCAGCCTGATCCTCTGCCTATCTTCAGCCCACTGCCCAGGGCCTGCTGCTGATCTACTTTATGTTTAAGAGTAAAACAATCTCGCTTCTTTTAACCGCCGCCTGTAAGAGCCGTCTCACACCCGTAGCTGCTTTCTAACGCTTGATTCTTTTTTCTTTCTGCTATTCTGTCTCTGTGCTTCTGCCCCCCCCCCCTTCTCTGTTCACGCTGGGCCTGCTATTGCAGTTCGCTCCTTCACCTTCACGCCTGCAGGTATGGGCCTAAGCTGCATCGCACGTTCTAATTTCAGTCATTTTACATGTTTCCAGCCACGGACGGGAGGGCGGAATTACCGTTCGCAAAAAACACCCGTGATCACAGTGCGCTCGCTCGCCCAAGTGGGCCCTACACTAACCCACAAGTGTGGATTAAGCTCAATGCATATGCATGGATTAACCCATTACGCATTGGTACTTTTAAAAGAATAAAGCTGCTGCTAGAAGAGACAAATATTTCACCTGTATCTCGTGTACTTGCTGGGGGTTTGAACTGGTGATTCCTGTTGGGGGTACGGGGTGGGAGGGAGGAGTGGGCTGTAAACCTTTTGCACCCTCCACCCCACTGCCATGGCTTGCTTCTTTAAACGTGCCTCCGATGCATGAGACTGATTGACAATTCAGTGTCGCGAATTTTTTACGTCCCAACATTCGGTTGGCTGGCAAAAGGCGATCGGTGCTAGCGAAGTTAATGGAGCTAATAGGCCTAATTGCTTTACAGGGATAACAATGCGAACACTGATACCAATCAGTTGCAAGAGGTTATTGGCAAGTGTGCACCCTTTACAGGGAAGAATTAGAAACTGCACGACAGCAGATAATGCAACTGATCTGCGTGATGGCCTCATATTTAGAGCCCCTTTCCCATCCAGGGAAGGTGCATTGCACTCCTGGGCCGCCCACTCCTGCAGAAATTGCCGAGCTTGCTGCCAAACGGGTGATTGAGATCGTGCGGATTTTTTGAGGCTGCCGCTGATATGACGCAGAAATAGAAAATAAAAAGAACAGAGGATCCAAGCTACGAACATTGTTATTGACTGGACGCCTTAATCAGCCAGATATAAAGAGGGGGGGGAGGGTGTTTGGGGGAAATGCTTTTATCTCTTTTTTGGTGATGCGATATTTGATTTTTCTTGGATAATTTTTTTTTCATTGAGCAATGGGGGACTTGGCCCAGGGTGTGCCGTCCTCACGAAATGTGCCACTGTCGTGAAATAAAATCCATCACGGATATGAAGGTCATCGCCGAACCGCCTCGGGATGGGTTACGGTGGAGGCAGGAGGGCGGTCAGGACCGGGCTAAGGGTTACTGATGACAAAGAGAAGACAAGAGACCCCGTGGCTTAAATTGAGGCTACTTGCTGGGGGAGTTGGGGGTGGGAAGGAGTGAAGATGTTCTAGCCACTGGGGCTCCTTATTAAACTTACTCAGCCAAAATACAATGCAACTGTGTGTGTGTGTGCGTGAGGTGCGTTCATCATCCGAGTGCATGAACATGTGTGATTGTGTTGTGTGCGTGAGCATTTGTGTCTGAATGTGTGTGTGTTTGTATGTGGTCGACTCAGCCTCAAATGAGTACCTGGTGCAGTGTGTAAACATCGCCACTGGGGAGACAAAGGCGGTCGGGCGTGGTGCTGGCCACCCACCCCCTTGTGTAACGTACCGGCCTTCATAAGTGTTCGCAAACGGCACTTTCCCCAACAATCTGTTAAGGCTATACGGGGGATCTTTGTGTGTATAGAGAGTGACCCAGCCAAACCACCTCCTCCATTCCAGCCTTAATAGGAGTTCACTAATAGCCCTTGGCCCAACAGCCTCTACAGGCTGTATGGGGGATCTTTGTCTTTGGAGAAGGATCTGTGGTTAATTCCCGCTATCTGATTCTGGCCTGGAGCCTTCCCGTAAATTGCGACTAAAATAATGATGATAAGAATTGCAACTTGTTACGCCCCGCGCACACAAGGATGGGTGGGGGGGGGCACCAGCCAGGTGGTGAACCGACGACAAAAAATGAGTACCTGAAGGTACATCGTTGGTCACTCCCCCACCCTTCGTTTGCCACGCTGGCTTTCATAGGCGCTTGCTAACAGCACTTACCTCGACAGCCTGTAAAGAGATTATTTCCGCGTGCACGTGTGTACGATGGCGTTGCTACTGACTGTGTGTGCGTGCGTGCGCGCGAGCGAGCGTGCGCTCTGTGTGAGTGTGCATGGGTGTCACACTGGTAAATGGCCCATGTCATGTGGGTTGAAAAATATCGCTGGGCTGGGGATCTGCATTCGCCGCGGCACTGACTCTCGCTCTCTCGCTTTTCCCATTACAGTGACCTTCCAGAGGACGCAGGGGACAGTCATGAGTAATGGACGGTAAAGAAAACGCTTTCCCTGTCTGCGCTTTTCTTTCCTGTCAGCCGCGCTTGTCAGCAATACCACCACCACCACCACCACGCGCTTGGAAAATGGCCAAGTGGATTTTTTGGACACAATTAAGAGTGGGCTTCTGTGATCAGCGCTGATTATGGCAATCGCTTCCCATTTTTCTCTGCAACGCACGAAATTAGTTCCTTTGTGCCGTTCCATTGGCTGTTTTGAAAACATTCGCGACGCCGCTTGCCACGTCGGTTGACACCCCAATGCGATTAAAAATGTAAATATATAATTGGAGAACACGTCACGTGATTTTCAATTGTTATGATAATCGAGCCGAAATTTTTGTTTGAGAGGAGGGTTTGGGTGCGGCGGGGGGGGGGGCGGCTTCTAAGCAAAAAAGGCGTGTAACAATCTTGTCAAAGGGCGGCCTTCCCCGGCGCGATGGCCGACGCCCGCAGTAGTGTGGCGCTCGCGTCAAGTGGCCGTGCCGTTAAGCATTGGCGTCGTGCGTCATCGTCGTCATCGTGGTCATCGTCGTCCCCCCCCCCCCCCGCCACAGGCCGGGAGTGCTGAACCCCAGCGACCCCACCTACCCGTGGCTGGCCGACTCGTGGCCCTCCACCGCACTGCAACTTGGCTCCGGGGCCAACAACTGCGCCGTCAGCTGCTGCCCTCACCCCACGGAGGCCGCTGACCAAGGGTTCTCGCACGCAGGTGAGGCGGCTGCCCCGGCCAGCGTCTTTCATCATCCCGGCTCTTCCTCTCCTCCCGCACTTGCCTCCCGTCAAGCGACCGTCTTGCAGGTTGTGGAGTCGCAAAGCAGCGAGGGGTGGTGTGCGGCGAGGGAAGACTTTGTCCAGAATTTGGTAGCCCGATGATGATGATTTAGCTGCGCACTACTCGCACACGCCCGTAATCGAGCGCTGATAAAGCGAGGTATGGTGGATCACACAAATGTTCTGAAACTCCCTTCCTGTGAGCGTTAAGGAGGTGCCGCAAAAAGGCAGTAAAGCAAATGTGAAATCCACCTGAGTGTTGTTGCCTCCTCACACGTCTGGGTTTTCTCTGGCTGCTCCGCTTTCCTCAGACGTGTAAATACTCCTAAATTGGAAGATAACACCTGAATATGGAGAGGACTACAGAGCTTGGAAAATTGGTGCCGGCTTGCCACCTGGATGCCTTTCCTACTTGCCTGTGGCTCCTCGCGCCTCTTGAGTTGCTCTCTCTCTCTGCGAGAGCGAGTGAATGCTTTGCGTGTCAAGTTGAAATTCAATTTATTTAAATGACTGTTTAAGGCTGTATGTGTTTTTGGAAAGTGGAAGATATAGTGCAGCCTTTTGTGGAGAGGATTTTGAATGAAATGGATGTCATTAAATATGTATACTTTGCCGGCGAATCACGACTCTACACATTTGGAGGTAGGCCAGATGCCAAAATTATTAATAACTATTCAGAAGGTCCAATTCAGCCCGTGGATGAGAAATACTGGCTATCAGTGATAGAGCAGCCTGAGGCCTGCTGCGGGTGTGACACCGCTAGTTTGTTTCATGGAACGATGACAGCAAAATATGGCGCAAGCCTCTGTTTTATGAGCCTCCCTGTGTAGTCTGCAACAAAAACAACGGGGTTTTTTTCATCCTCTGCTAATGTTCGAGCTGGGCATACGTTGGCCAACTTCAAACGGCACAACAGCTGTACCTGTGATTCCCCATGCTCGACTTAATGAACATCATTCATAGTTCTTTTGTCGCGTTGATGATCAACATTATTAGAGGCGTCCGAGGCACAAGGCTCTGTCTCAGCGGCCTTAGATGGCAAAGATTAATTTACAAAAGCAGAGACATGTCTGAACATTATATTAATTATTTATCTTGCTCAAGCATAGTCTTTACATTGTGCGGTTTTGTTAAATGTTTTGTTGAAAAGAAATATTAGTGGCCCGTCAAATTTCCTCCACGAGAAATGTTAGTCCTATGGTCTTCTCATGCTTAATATCATTGTCATATTGCCACTGTAATTGTTGTTGTCATTTCATGAATGAAAACATGTTGTGCATGCAGTAAACAAATATATGAGGAGAAATAATCAGAATGGCAAAAGGCAGCTTTTTAAAAAGGTCAGGGGGAATGATAATGTCAGACACCAAACAAAACATTGAGCACGAAGATATGAAAGCTTTGGTTCTGGAGTGAAGTGGAATGTGCTCATGCAGCATGGGCACTGCAGAAGGATGAGATGAAAACACGAAGCAGGCTCGAGATGCGGTGCTCCAGCATAAAATAAATCATTGAGTTGGTGCGACGAGAATGAAGTGAAGATGTACTGGCAGAGAATTGGCACAAGCAGCAATTACTGAGTAATCTGATGAGAGGAAAGGTGGCGTGTGGGGAGAATATTTGAAGATGGGTCAACTGGGGGGGGGGGGGAGGGGAATGGAAGCTAAAAGGAGTTGAGGATGGAAAAGTAACAGTTGTCAGTACAATGTGGGCAATTTGCGAGGACTCCATGGGAGATGCTGACGATTACAAATGGCAGAAAGCCATCTGCTGTAGGATATCGACACTCGGCTATCAAGATGACATCTGATCGAAAGGCTTAGCACATAGCAAACTCTTGCCACCATGAATCTCATACGATAACTCTGAGTTCCAACTTTGGCATCTAAATATAGAATGATTTCTTGTGTAAGAGCGTGTCTTGGACAACACTCATTCCACACCTCTCAGTTGAAATAGTAATTGTTATTATTTTTATGCCACTTTTTTGTCTTCAAACATGATACTATTCTGAATGATAGTATTGCGTCAAGCCTACAGATTAAAAAAAATCCGCTTTTATATTTAGGCAGCAAGAAAGGACACGCATAATGTTTGTAGGGATCTTGCAAAACTGGCATTAGGGGGTAATCTGCGTGTGCGCGTGGAATTAAGCAGCCCGGTCTGTTGGCTTTTGTGGGTCACTGGCCACAACTGCGAATGAGAGTCACAACGATTTCCAGCCAGGAAAAATGTTCGTCATTTCCACGGGAAGCGTGAAACGAGACGTGAGAGCCATTCTTTAGTTTGCATCGCTGCTTCCCACCCAGGACCCCCTGCCCACGGAGCGGGTAAATGGCTCTCAGACTCCTAGGCTCTCGATGTATCTGCCTTATTTCTGCGCCGGACGAGGATGGACGTCAGCACGGCACGCCCACCTCCTGGTTTCCGTTAATTTACTCGGCTCACCTTGGACTGCAGGTTGACAGCGTAATGCTTGTCTTCTGAAATATTCTCATTTTGGTGCGGCGCCCTGGGTGTGTTGGTAAATTGCATCTGATTGTGTACTATTTCCATTGAGTTCCCGATGACAGATTTTATTTTTATCTCCGAAAAACTTTGGGGGTTTTTGTCTTTGTGCTTATCACACGGAACATTGCCATCCTGTTGTTGACATGGCTTGCTGCGCACAAAATGTTTGTGTTCTTCCACCTGAATGTTATAATACAAAATTAACATTACAGTACTAACTTCAAAAGTATTTTTAAAGTCCACCATCAAACTTGAGGATGTTTAAATTGCAAAGTTAAACTGTTTAAGGAATAGTCCTTAAATATATTGGTCATGAATACAAAGAGCCCCTAAAAATTAAGCCCAAGAAACTCTCCTTTTTTTCTGAAGCAAATTATTTTTTTGCCTGCAACAAATTTGTTTTTAAATCTCCAACTATCACATGTAAACGTGGAAAATATGAGATCCTGAAGAAATGAGCAGTGCGTGGTGGTGTGCAGAAAAGCCGTTCAAACACCGATGCGAATTTCACACCGATGCGAATTTCACAACGCTCGCCGTGCTCCTCTCCCCTCAACCCAGACGCCAGTTTCTCAAATATGGGAGCGGAGGGTGCCAAGTCGGCGACGCTGGCGTCCGACGGAGCCATCTACAGCAGCATCGACGTCAGCCGCGAGGCGGCCTTCTACAGCCCGGGCGCCACGCCCCAGGCCACGCCGTACGCCACCACGCAGATCATCCAGCAGAACATCGCCAACGAGATCTCGGCCGAGCGAGGGGCAGCCCCTGCAGGGCCCGCGGGTTTCGGCGTGCCGTCGGAGCAAGCGCGATTTGCCAACGGTAATTCCACCCCCCCCCCTCCCCCCGTTCATTTAAGCCTGTCGGTGAGAATTCCAGATCCTGTCGTTCACCCGTGACGCCGGATGGGCGCGCATTTAATCGTGCCCAAATGAGGGTTAACGGAAGGGAAACTTGAAGAAGATGAGAGCAGTGTATGCCCGCGGCAGATTATAAAATAAAAAAAATATTCACCGTCGCAATAATGAAGCTGTGACGACGATGCGCTCTGCTTGGGCGCCAGGGGGGACAAAGGTGACGCCACCACCGAGGGGTGTTTGTGGTTTTCACATCTGATTTTAATTAGCGCAAGGCAACACAGCAGTCTTGGGAAAAACAAATATTTTAAATATAATAAATCACAGGAACCCCTCCCGTCCACATGCTGCTTTTTAATTTGCTTACCAAGCTCAGTTTTTTTTGCTGTGAACATGAATATATATTTTGATTAATTTGATCCCACGTTGTGCTTAATTGCCTTGATTCATTATTTACCCTTTGATTATTATTTTTCTTTCACTGGTGGTTGTTTGTCTCGCTTTGTGTTGCCGCTTATTCAATTTTTTGTTGTTGTTGTTGTTGCTCCCATTGCAAATTCTTCCAATCCCCCACAAAACGGCCCCCTCGCCACCCTCCTCAATCGTGACCTCCGCCGCGACCCCTGCACGACCTCGTGACCCCCAGAACGGCGTGGGCCGCAGTGCATGCTGGGCGGTGCGGGTGGCCCGAGCCAGGACCATGGCTCCCTGGGTTCACGCCACAGCACCGATCGCAGCAGCGGTTCTTCAGGTTGGTCAGAGTCTGGCAGGGAGCAAAGCGAGCGACCAAAGAGACAAACGAGTTAATAAAGCGTACATTTACTGACCATTGATTTATTGACCGATTTTTTATTTTCTGAGAAATCAATTATCGGATGGATGGATGAGTTTGGATCGTGGGTGAATACATTAAAGCAAATGAATAGGGAATGTAATGAGTTGCTATGGTTATCATGCCTAGTATAATAACAGCTCCTGGTGTAGTAGCAGCACTCAGCGCTGTACATTTTTACTACTTTACCCTGCATATATATGCTAAATAATGCAAATAATTAGTTTAATTGTTTTCCAGACAAATGTCTAAAATAATTGTGCCAATGGATGCACTGCAAGTAATCCATTTATGAATAAGTAGAATCATAATAATTTACAGCCCTTTTGTAAATCCACTACTGGAGCAATGCCTCGCCCCTATATTCAGTTGTGCGGGTTGTTTGAGCGTACTTCATCATGCTGGTCAAGTACAGGTTGGTGAAGGGGGAGGAGGCCATGGGCAACTTAGATGTCGCTCGCCAGAGACGATAGACGGTGGTCGGAAATTCAACTCGGATCTCCAGATTTCATGGCGCAGTGTGCTAACCGCTGTGCCACCGCTCCCCCGCCCCACCCCCCTCCCATTGATGAGCATATATACATACGAGTATGTATTTAACAAAGAAGACATAAGCTGCAGTCAGATTACTTTAGATAAATGAGTAAGATCCTTAGTCTGCCTTCATTAAGGTAACACAATTAAGGGGAGTCAGAGTCTATTTAATGCATCTGCTTGAATGTGTCAACTCAGGGTCTGTAAACATGCTTGTCTGTCATGCGGTACATTAAAAAAAGCACACCTATGCCCACGGGAATGCATGCAATATTGTCATTTGTATGCGACACTGCCAAATTTTGCAAGTGACAAGCAGGGTTAAGGGGGTTAACATCCAAGGTCTTTTATATTGACCCATCACGTGGAGAATTTGTCTTACGTATTCATAATGCTGTGCGTTTTGTTTTATTATTTTGTTTAAAAGCATTCCGGTTGTGCTATTGGCATCATGTTTTTTAGATGAATCCATTCAGAAATGTCACCGAGCATTGGGGCCAGTATGGGTTTCAGCAAAAAGGCTCGAGAATATCATTTTAACACAATTTCTCCCCAAAATATCCTGTACTTTGCCTTTTATTAACAGCAAGCCTCCCACTTTCCCATGCACTCTGCTACGAGATACTTGTTTTTTTTTATCTCACGACAATTAAACAGTTCATTTGTAGATCTGGAAGGCGCCTTACAAGTAAATGTAAATTCTTATTAAATTGTGTAAAAATACATCTAAAAATGTTTCCCCCCCCCCCCCCCCCCCACTAATTGGAGAGGAAGCAATATTCTTAAGAACCTGGATTAATCACGGTTGGCTGAACCAAAGGTTTCGAACCCAGTGGTCCTGCCTCGGCACTACGACCCTGAACCACCCGGCTGCCTCGTTCTTTTCTTTTCAGTATCTTGTAAGTTTAATTGGATGTTGTTGTATCATGCATGCATCCGTGCGTAAGTGTAGCGAACATTGCTGACCTGTCGTAGTACGCTATCTTTTTTCTGTTCCCCCAGCTTGTGTAAAGTAAAAGAGAAATCCGTTTTTAACTGAAGGCAAGGATAGCTCGTGCTTTGAAGTATCACTATTTTGGGACTCATAACCACATATGCCCATGGGTATGAATTTGCCTTCGTCGATTGCCAACATCCATCCTCGATCATAAACACTGCCACTTGCACCCACAGGCGATGATTTCAAGCAATATTCAGCAATCCTTTTTTTAGAACATTTTCAATATTGAAAAGGGACCTCTTGGGAAGACGCCGCTACAGCTACTGTTGTTCGGTTCAGAAATAAAACGAAAATAAAAATTGCACACGCAGAGAGCGGCAGTGAATGGGGTGAGCAGACTGCTACAATCCGAGCAACCCGAATGCAAAGAAACATTTATTTACAAATCATATGAGAACTGTATGTATGATTATGACAGTAAATATGGTGATATATCGAAACAAACAAAAATCTTTCCGCTGCAATTCCTGGCAATGCATATCACCGGTAGTAATTCGTACCTGAATCTAGTCTAAGCCTCCCCTAGGTCAACTCAACCTTACATGAGCACCTAGTGTGCTGTGTCCGGCATCAGCAATTGTGAGACAAAGGTGACTAAGCATGTGTGGTACTGCGAACTGTAGCACACATTAGATCCCATGCCGACTTTATTAGGCTCTCGCTAACAATACCTGGCCCAGCAGTCGGTCAGGCTAAGTTGGTGGTACAATCAAGGTGAGAGTGTATTTGCAGTGCAGGTGGACAAAACGATTCAGGTCAAATCTCACGAAAGAAGTTCAACATACATACGCTGATCGCTTTATTTTTACAGTGAAGTACAATTTATTTATTTATTTTTAAATTACGCGCATTTTGAGAATGTGAAGCATCGGCGAGACGATGGGCCCTCTGGCAAAATGCGTCGTTGGCCCGGACGGAGGCATGCATGAGCGCACCGAACGGGCGCCCCGGTGAGCATGCCAGTGGTGGAGCGACGCGACACCAAGGGGTTGCTGTGGCGAGGGGGCCAGGCAACTTGCAATTTCATTTTTTTTAAATACTGTCGGCTCGCACCACTCAGCGCCGCTTCACTCAGAGCGCCTGGACGCATTCCCACTGAGGGTAAAACCTTCACCGCACGTGTCAGCCCGCGTCTCTGTTTGCCTTCCAAAGCCATGTGCCTGTCTGGAGTTTTAATATTGCACGAGTCGGCGGCCAGATCTCTGTTGGCAGACTCGTACAATGCGGTCAACTTGACAACCCAAGCCTGTGTAATGCCTGCAATATATTGTTTTGTAGTTATTTTATATTCTCCGGGCTTTGCTGTTGTCGCAGCGACAATGTAATTGAATTGTGCCAACCCTGTTGTGTGCACGAGAACAATCAACAAGCGGAGCTATGAGGTCGTCGCTAGTTGGTTGTATGGCAACTACGTTCCTGACCTTTCCAATAAAAAAGATAAACTCTTGAATTTTGTACTTGCTGCGTAAATCAACTGCGTTGTTCGTATTATATTGCAGCGTTGTGTTATTGACGTTGAGCTCGTCGATAAATACCGCCGTTGTCAATTTGAATTTGTTTCTGCTCACTGAAGGTGGCCGCGGGAAAAAGAAGTCCAAGAGCAAAACGAAGGCGGCAAAGGCCCCCGGAGTGAACTGGTCCGAGTTCCTCCCACCGCCGCCGTCTCACCCCCCTCCGGGATGCAACATGGACCAGTCCGGAGGTCTCCAGGAGGACGGGTGCGTTCATGTGTGTGGGGCTCCCATTAGTGGATTTGCTCGAATGCGCTGAAAGCGTAACGCACCAACATGCTTTATTTCACTCGCCTTTGTTTGTTTCGTTGGACAGCGTCCTATTGAATTTTAACCGTGAGATTGAAAGCTACAATTACGGTCTTTTTTACATATATACTGCTGCTGTAGTTGGTAAGAAATGGATCACAACTACGGAGGATAACGTCAGTCAGTTATTATTGAGAAATGCATGGAATTATGGGAGATTGCACCTAAGTGCAACATTAAATAAACAATTGCAACACTAAATTACGGCAACTATTTGTCACCCGGCCTTTTGACCATGTTTCCAAGCCTCTTATCACCCAGTATGTGAGAAACACGTGACTTTAAACCAATTAATTAAACGGTATGGTGTGGCGTAGCAAGGCTTCTATAGGTCGGGCATCTTGCTATTCTGTGGGGTAATAATTTTTGGCGGAAAGTCCTCTTGCGAGTGCACATCGCCCGCTCCCCCCTCCACCCGTAGTTTATGGAGCGTGTCCGTGTGCAGCGCGCGGGCCGCATAACCCCGCATGCAAAGCAACGTGTACAAATTCCCATTAATCTAATAGCCTGTTTAATAGAGTCCTACCATCTCGGCAGTGAACATTATCTCCTCCTCCCCAGCCATCCGGCTAAATGGGAAAAAAATTGCAACCCCACGTGCCACGTGCCCAGCACCCACACTTAATATTCATAGCTTCTCTTTTCAATGTAGCTTTGGAAATGTCTTCAATCATCGCCTTGATTTAGGGCATTTGTCTCCATTTTCCCTCTAATGGAGTGATTCATACGTATGGGGTTTAGCACATGAGGCAAAATACGGGATGGCACGTTACGCGGTTCGATGGGATGGGCCCTCGCTTGTTCACTTGTTTATTTATTTTCCCCCAGTCGTGCTCGTGAGGAATTGAAGGTCTGAGGGGGTGCAGCGGTGTATCAATTGGAGCTTTCGATGTAAACACCACCCGAGCAGCGATGTCACCCCAGAGGTTAAATCTCGAGATGTAGGGATTTAATATGGGGGATATTGGCATCATGTTTACTTATATTGGGGTTATGCTATTATAGAGGTGAACATTACACTATTTTGATAGTTTTTTTTCTTCCTGGTTTTGCTACCTAGAACAGTTTTAATAATGCCATGGTCCTTGTTTTGGAAAATTCTCTTCAATAGCAGCTGTTCATTATTATCTCCATTTGAAGTGTATCTTTTTCTCGAGCTTTCAGTTGCAATTTTTTGTAATAGTATTCTATAGAGCAGGCATTGGAAACCTTGTTTTTTTACTGAAGGCCAAATATGTCTTTCAAATAATGTACATTAACATACACCCAAGCGCTATCCAATAAAACCACAACACATCTTAGGGCTCACCATTAGCGGTCTAAATTAGAAACAGTGTTGCCACGTTGAAAACAATCCCCTCTCTTACCTGATTACTGTGGCCACGATAATTGCAGTGATTGATAAATATTGCTAGCGGGCCATTTAGAAGCGGCTACGGGCCTCATAAAATGACCTTAAAGGCCGGATCCAGCCCTTGAGCAGTGTGTTCCCCTCCTTGGTCTAGAGGTATTTTTGAGTTGGAGATTTTTTTCCTGCAGTAAAAATGGGGGGCGTGGGGGGGGGCATGCCACAGTTCGTTGATCGTCGGTACACATGTGGTGAGGTAAAGTGTGGGTACTCCCACTGCTTCCAAGATGGTTGGCCAGCATGGAAGAGTAGACCAAAATACCATCCATAAGGGAACTCTGTAGAGCTTCCACCGGTGAACATCCTTCTTGCAGCAGAAGGTATGACCGAGTAATTGCAGGACTGCACCTTTGCCTAGAGGTATTCATTCCCCAGGGCTGGCATCAGCGCTGTGGAGAGGCTGCCTGAAAGAATTCTGCTTGAGCTCACTGATCCGCGGGCTCGCGTCCGGCAGCGACTTCATACGGCGACTGCGCGATGAATTATTAAGAAAACACATCCATTTAACCGGCTGTCAGAGGCATCAACCTTAATTTGTGATTTTTTTTTGCCCTGCGAGGGAAGTATTAGTGCACTAAAATGAAAACGGGACGAAATAAAATCAAAATTCTGGCGCGTACAGCGCCGCTTTTACGTGCGTAGCGCAGATGGTGTCAAGTGAAACTAATTGCACGTTAAGGCAAAGCGCCTCTCTCAGAAATGGGGTGTTTGTGTGACTGCGCGATGCAGTTGTATATTTTTATCCCTTTTCTGGAACGACGAGGGTTATTGCCGCCACCGTCGTCTTTGTGTCCCCGTCGGCTGCGATCTGCAACTCGCGGCAGCACACGGGGGTGGGGGGGTGGGGGGTGAGGGTGGGGGGTGAGGTGAGGGTGGGGGTGGTGGGGTTTAGCGGCTGCATCAATCCCAAATTAAGGCTCCTTTAATCATATTTTTGACGAGGAATCTTATCCCAGATGACAAATGGAGCCGCTTCTCTGGCGTATTGGGTTGGGAGTAGAGTAACGGATTTCTGATCACTTAGGGCTGCGCCCTGTATAGATTTGCACTTGGTCAAGTGATTGGTGTGCGGGTATTTTCGTTTTTGCAAATCGGCATGGCCGCGGGTGCAACTTTGTCACCTTTAACACGTAGGCTTTCGCGACCAATATCATCCATAATAGAGGTGTTTTGGGTTAGATCGCATAAATATATATGTGACGGATAGGCCACGTTCTGTTTACATGACAGCCCTTACTAGTTGGCCGTGTCGGGTGGTGGCGGGTTTTAACGACACATTATTATATTTACGTGGTCTAACCCCAAAATAAACCTCTAATATGAACTTTGTTTGTTGGTACACCACGAATTTGTTGTGTGACCGGCATCATCGGCGGAAACGACAATCACAACACCGGCAGTGTGACCTAAACAAAGAAAACCTCATGGTCCAGATGGATCACAATTTGGATACAAGAGTGGGAAGCTTTTTTTTTATTCCCGTCTGCCTTATAATGATGGTCAACAAATGTTTCTCAAATGTAAAGCATTCCACTGATAGCAGAGGTTGAAACCAGTTGTGAGTGTAATTTTTGTTCTTTTTTAAAAATGACAGTCAAACTCGTGGATACTGTAACGCTTAGGGTTCTTGTCCGAAATGCTTTGTGTGTTTATGAAGCAGCGTGTGTTAATAATGATATCTATTGCATGGGAAATCTGGTAACTCTAGCTTTGAAGTGACTTTTAAAAAACAAATGTCTTGACACCAAAATAAATGGAATGCTGATCTTAATTATGTCACAGTTTTAGTATTGAACATTCAAAACGAAAGCATATTTTATTGAGCTTGACACTTTCACTTAAATAATCCCTAATATTTTATTTGTAATATTTAAATTTAACATTTTTGTATTATTATTACAGCTGTGGATGCTCGCTGAGCTCTACTTCCATTTATATTTATATATGTGTGTGCAAAATTCTGCTGCCCAGAATGTGCAGGCATGCATGCCACAGGCTGACTGCTAGAAATGAGGATGCCTCAGCCTCGAGGTCAGAGTATCCAGCCTAGAGGTCAGAGTATCCAGCCTAGAGGTCAGAGTTGGTGTCGAGTCGACTGTCAAGGCAGTGTGGCGGCACAGCTTGTGTATATGAGGCTTGTTGTTGTTGTTGCTGGGTTCCAGTTGCTCCATTCCAGGCTGTGCAACGGTGCTGCTCTCTCCCTCCTCTCTCTCTCTCTCCCGTGTTTCCCTGCCCTGACCCACTCTCCACTCCCCTCCAGACTCCCTCCTTCTTCCCTAATGTATTTTTTCACCTTTGCACGGCGTCTTGAGATACAGTTGCATTTAGACGCTATATAAATTGAAATTGTTGTGGTGTCAGGTAAGCGGTGGGTAGAAGCTTTGGACCAACAAAGAGCGCTGAGAAAAAAGTGGCTAATCCTCAAAATAGTTATGGATTAGCCGGTACAAAACTTGGGGGGAGGGGGGCACAAGGCCAGAACAACCTCCCGAATGCCCCCCTTTTGCCGCTAACCCTGGCGCAAGCCTCGCCACCCAGCGGTGCTCGCCTTCCAGCGTACGGGGGAGGCGAGAGGGTTAATGGTGCAGCTCTCAGCCAGAACCCCATCGCTCCTTCAGCGCTCGCTTCATCACGAAGGGGGAGACCCGAGCCACGCGGTTCGTAGCCAATTCCCATCTTCTCCTCCCCATGTGTCGCCTCGCAGCTACGACAGCGACGACTGCGGCCCCCCGCTCCCCGTGCGCATGTACCTGCACGGGGACGGCGGCGAGGAGGGAGAGGGCCCGAGTGGCGGGGGCAGGACGCACGCGGTCACAGGCGTGGGCTACCTGGGTTCGCCGTCGCCCGGGGAGGCAAGGCATCCGAACAGGTACGACTGCGCAGATCGCCGTTGCAGCCCCACATTGGGCAGGTGGCCCGTAGGTGTGCACTGCACGTTTCGGCTTTTGTTTCCACTTTCCTCTGTCTTGTGTCAATGTGCTCAAGTAGTGGCCACATCTTTCTGACACCAATCTCCCTTATGTCGTCGTGAAGCCATTCTCTGTTAGGTCTTCCTCTCTTTCTGGCTCCTTCCATTCTTGTCAACAACAAACTTTTCATTTTCCTGTTGTTATCCACCCTATATATGTGTCCAAATAGGACCAGTTTCCTTCACATCATATAAAATACTTTATCATATTTTCTTTTGGGGTCGTTCCACGCGTCGTTTCAGGCGTGACATCCGACGTTTTTCTCCGCGTCCACCGGGGAGTCTCTTCAGGAACGGGAAGAAGCTCCTAGCACGTGGCGCAAAACCTCGGACATCGTGTCAAACGGCACGCGACAACGACCTAAAAATGCGTCACAGGGCTCACCTACGGGGCGCAACCGCGAGCGGCTATGCGGTCGGAAACATGTCTGCGCTCACGTGCCCCTTGCTTGGCGCATCACAAAGAGCAATGCTGTCAACCCGGGCAGCTGGCACCGCCGCCGTTTCATTGCCTCTTGCATTTGCCCTCATCAACGAGTGAGCATCACTTCACTTTGACTTGGGTTGGAATATGGCGACTACAGTTGTTGCGATAAAATTAAGTGATTTATTTTTTGACGAGTGTCATAAATACAATGAAGATACCTATTCTTAGGTTTTGTCGGTAAAGTCACGTAGGTAAAAAAAAATTAAAATTAAAATTTATAAAAGTAAAATAAAAATAAAATAAAAATCACGACGTTTCGGAGGCAACCCAAGCTTCCGTCTTCAGGTGGAACCGTCACAGCACGACTGCTGCATCAAGTAAGTACTTGAAGACGAAAGCTTGTGTTGCCTCCGAAACGTCGTGATTTTTATTTTATTTTACTTTTATTAATTTTAATTTTTTACCTACGTGACTTTACCGAAAAAACCTAAGAATTTGAATCCTTGCAGTCACGAAAGCTTCAAATCTAGAATGAAGATACCGTTCAACGGCTATAAATATTCCGCTGGCTTTGCTGTGAACAACAATGCAATTTGAAATAAAGCATGGAGGGTTTTTTCCCAGGGGAGAATGAACGTAGAAACACAACATACAAATGTATGCAATTACAAATGTTTGCATGCGATTAAGCTACGAGCACACTAAAGGAGATCAATCATTATGAGCACGTGCAAGCGTTGAACGTCATAGTTACACGTGAGATTGAGATATTAACCGAAGTTTCAGTTCATTTCCATAAAAAAAAATATTTCTCATGGTCACTCATTACCCCGCGCAGCTCGCGAGGGCCCAGAGTTGCGACGAGCACTCTGTACGTACGTTGAACTTCTTTCGCACCATGCATGGCCAACTGTGCTAATCGGAGGTGCGAGCAAAGAACAATAAACGGAACACAAATAGCAGCCCCAAAGAAATGAGCTTTCAATCTCGATTTAAAAGTGCATACCTCCAGTGTGCTTCCCAACATCGGAAGAAAGAGCGTTCGAGACGGCCGGAGAAGCGCAATCTGAAAGGGCGCTTCTGCTGTAACCATCTTTGTTGGAAAACGTTGACCACATACGACCGGTGTCTAATTCTGAATGCTCAACGTCACGCCTCACCGCACATCGGGTGACAGAGCTGTAAACGCTCGACTCCGGCTAAATCGAGCGTGCGCCAGCGCCGAAGAGAGAGGGGGGGGACGCGGAGACGCAGTTTCCTCCTCAGGGCCAAGTTGAAATTGTAGGTTCGAAGGCCACGACAGGGATCTTGAGCCATGACGGGCAGGGGTCAGGCAAAGGTCACTGGCTCCAGGCCGCTTGTGCCCGCCCAGACGGAGCTGTGTGCGTGTGTTCGTGCGTACGGGCACAGCAACTGGCGCTGCAGGAGAAGCAGGTTAAGGCTGTGATGTATGGTGGCCCAGGGCAGGAGCACTTATCGCCAATCTCCTCACATTGAAGGGATGGTCCCTACGGCACTTGCCAGTGTTGCGCCGCATTCGTCTTCAGTTCTTTTCCACCCGATCCACCCCCCACCCACACACCAATTCTCTCTCTCTCTCTGCTCTTTTCTTTACTGCTACCACCTAGGAAAATTGCTTATCGCGCCATGCTGTTCGTGTCGGCGCTCTGTTCGGTGTTTAACTTTGTGTTCACATCTCTCCCGGGCTTCTCCCCAAGGAACTGGCCCCAATGTAATTCTCTCGTTTAGAGCAGACAGGTGATGGCCAACGTAGCACGCAGCCTCGAATGGATTTGATTTAAAAGCAGCGGCATTCTCGCTGCCCCCCTAATGATGATAATTAATGCGAAATGAGCAGCCTTCCTAGCTGCTTGTGTGTTACCGTTTCAAATGTGCACTCACTTTGCAGGTGTGTGTGTGTACGCATGCGCACGTGTGTATGTGACTGTGTGGGAGCGGTAGTGTAGCGGTTAGCGTGCTGCGCTATGAACCCGGCGACCCGGGTTCGATTCCCGCTCACGGCCAACACCAGTGACGATTATCTGAACCGGTCCTGGGCCTCCCCTAGGTCGACTCAGCCTCAAACGAGTACCTGGTGCGGTGTGTAAACATCGCCACTGGGGAGACAAAGGCGGTCGGGCGTGGGGCTGGCCACCCACCCCCTCGTGTACCGTTCCGGCCTTTATAGGTGCTCGCTAACAGCCCTTGCCCCTACAATCTGTTAAGGCTATACGGGGGATATTTGTCATTCGTCCTTTAGAGTGGAAAGTGGTGGCACTCCTTTCTGGAGACCCATGCTAAGTTACTCCCCGTGCACGTCGATGGCAGGTGCCACGTGTACCTAGCCAGGGCTTGCGTGTGGGTCCACTGCACCTGAAATAAGTGAAGATTTTACTGTGGCACGAACATCAGCACTGGGAAACAAAAGTTGCCGAGTTTTTTGTGGAGTTGCTCCCATCACCCACGCATGTGCCATTATCAGCCTTAATAGGTGCTCACTAGCAGCACTTGCCCCACTATCAGCGAGGCCAAGCATGAGACTCTGACTTGTTTGTAATTTTGAATGTGTATATTTGGGGAGTGGTGGTGCAATGGCTCAGACACAGCGCTACAAGGTCCCAGGAAATTTAGTTTAAATCACGGGCATGGCTATCATCATTTGCAGGTGGCATTTTATCTTGTGTTATCATAGCAGGCCTTTCCCTGTTAAACTCAGCCTTCAATGAGTGCCTGGTGTGCAGCGTAAGCATCAGCCACTCAGGTCGCTGCGTGTAGCCCTGGCCACACCACTCTCTCGTGCGCCGTTCTCTCCTCAATGGGTGCTCGCGAACAGCACTTACCCCAATTGTATGAATGTATGTTGTACTTCGCTCGCACTGCACGTAGCCAAACCTTGCTAATCGTAGATGGAGGATGACTTACAGGGAATCTCTGCGTGTCTTTGGTAGGGGTGGCGGTCAGGGCACGTTTGTGCCCATCCCCAGGGCCCCATCCATACCCCACCTGTATGGTGGCCCAGCGGTGACGTGCACCTTGCCTGGCACAACGCTCCTGTGCCACTCGGAGCCGGAGAGGCTTGAGGACGTGGACCCAGACGGCGAGGCAGGATCCAGCGAGCACCAGCCGCTGCGCAACATGGAGTACACGCTCGCGGCGAACGGCGACCATGCGGATAACTCCGTGCACGGTAAGAGCCGCCGCGCACAAACGTACGATTCGCATACAACGCAGGCGTTGGTGGCTATGCACGGGGCCTGTGATCCAGCACTGCGGAGGCAACGGAGGTTGGCGGATCGCAAAAAATGTTGGGAAACTCCCTTCAGTGGGCGTTGAGGAGGTGCCATATGCTGGCGTACCAGGAGAAGGCAGTAGAGCGATAAATGTGGACTCAACCTGTTCCGTCTGTATGGCATAGAGTGTTTCCCCCTCGCACGCGTATGGTATTCTCCGGGTGCTCCAGTTTCCTCCCACATGTAAACACCCATTAAAGTGGCAAATTACACCTTAATATAGAGGGCAGCAGAGCTTGGGCAATTGTTGGTGCCGGCTCACCATCTGGCTGCCTTCCAGCTCGTCTGTGGTTCTTCGTGCCTCCGAGTCGTTATCCCTCTACGAGAGTGATCAAATTCTGTGCGGCCTCATTACAAGTTGAAAATAACATTATTATTCTTCCAATGTGGATTTAAACAACATCTTAATGCCATCACACATAAAGATGCTCTACAGCAAAGGGGAAAGCCGACCACAGACTGCTTGGGGAAAGTGCTGTTAGCGAGCACCTATTGAGGTCAAAACTGTACACGACGGTGGTGGTGGTGTAGCCAACACCACGTCTAGCTGATTCTGCAACCCCACAGTGCTGGTGATTACGCAGTGCACCAGGTACTTGTTTAAGGTTGAGTCGACGTAAGAGATACCCAACACCAATTCATGTAATTTGTGACTGACACCAGCTGTGGCTGGGAATTGAACACAGGTTCTTAGGTTCATAGCGCAGCGTGCTAAACGCTGTTCCAACTTACACAAATATCCATATACACACACCAACATGCATGCATGCACACGCACACACACAAGTGTCACCAGCCACACAAATAGTAGCATTCATCACCAGAATGTCATTGGTTTCTTGTATTATTTATTTTATCCTAAAAGAGAAAATTCCAATTTCTTCATGAAATAGGAGATAGTCAGGGACATTACTTTGCAAGTACTGTCAATCTCGCCCTCTCTTCATGTCCCTTTTATGTTTAAAAAAACACACACACACACTTCACTTAATACATCATGCCAGCTAGACCTGAGGGATTAGCAGCCAATCTTTATAACCTTGCTTAATCCCACGCAGAGCCCTCACTGCATTTCTGGATGCTCTTGCTGCTCAGCGAAAATCCTCCTCGCCGAATGATCAGCCTCACACTGAAGTGCCCCTGGCTAGACTGGCCGGCCACTCAGAGGGCCAGGTGTCAGTGCTGCCATTTTGCCACTCGATTTGGAGAAAAATCAGTTATCCAAGGCATAAGCGGTGCCCGAGGCAGCATCTTGACCTGGAGTGGCTTCGCATTCTGTCAAACTCTGTTTGCCGTGGCTACGTATGGCTTCTGGCGAACTCTCTCTGCCAAGTTGCCATCAGTTGCTTCCCCGACGCGCACAAAAGAATTTCAACCTTGCCACATACTTCCAATTGGCCACTAATAGATGTTTGTCGTTTGACAGGGCCCTTGGGCTCTTTAACTGTTCTCGGTGACTTGTCAACGACAGCCTTGGGAGGGCACGTTCTGCGAGTCGTTGCATGTGCAGTGTGCAATTCCCCTACATATTGCCCCCATTAGAACGGATCACACGGCCTCGCTCCCGGTTCTCCTTCCTGCGTTGCTGTCTTTTCTGCAGTGGCCATCTGATCACCACAAGGGCATCGGTGACAGCATGGGACCCTGGGATTGGTCAATTTAAATTTATAAAAATCGGAGTGATGACAAGGAGCTGGAGGGGAAATAATGTCATATAACAAGGCACAGTCAAAGAGATGTATGTAAACAAACTTGTATTTATATATTTCAAGCATAACCACACTTCATCTTTCATTTTTTTTATATAACCACTACTGTTGGCATAACAAACAAAAATATGACGCTGAAACTTCTCTACTGATGGGGTTTCCAAACAAAAAAACATGCAAATTATATTTAGAGACACATGCCAACAAAATACTCGGCTTATCAGATGGAAAGTTTAAATTAGCCTAACATAAGGTCATGATGCTTTTTCATACGAATTAACTCAACAAAACCACATTTGTTTGAAAGCGCAAGCCAAGACAGCTTTGGTCATTCCACGCAAAATGCCCCGTGAACCCAACCGGTTCCCGGTGACCTGTGACCTCCTGCTAATCCCCGTTATTTGAACTCCCGAACAAACTGCCATTTACACTGTGGGGCCCACAGGCTCCGCCAATGGATGGGACGCGGTAACAGACATGGACGGGGTTTGTTTCGGCCAGAACGGATGGGCTCGGGGATTCTCACCCGACGTGCCACGCAGCCAGGACGGTAAGCCCTCGTGCATTGCACCCAAAAAAATATCTGGAGCCTTTTGCAATTTTACATAGATTTTTTTCTTAGTTTTAAAATAAATTGAAAGAATGAGAAATATCATCCGAAAAATGTCATCGGCAATTTCATACATCCGTACTTTTACGAAATCAGTGCAGTGTCCTCAGTGGTTTTGCACTTCAGCAATCGTTTTTTTGTATGTTTTGATTCCCACGAGGAACGTGGGAGATATTTGTTTCGGCCGAGTTGAAAACGGGCCATGTGTTACAAATAAGAAAATGTGAATAACAATATGAAGGCCCCAGGAGGCTGCAGGGGTCCCATGGCAGGAATGCACAATCCCCCAGGAAGAGAAAAAAACCAACTGGCACCGGTTTGCGTAAGCTGAGAGGGCTGATGGCCGGTAAAAAAATGTGACACGAACGTCTATCGGTCGTGCACAGTGAATGACACAATTAAGTCTGTAGCGGGCCCCATTTATAATTGGCTTTCGTCGGCTTATTCGTACCAACAGCTGCAAAGGAATTGCAGTGCAGAGCTAATGCAAAACTTGATATTGAAGTGCTAAAAACGAAGATTCATGCACTGCGACACGGGTGAAAACAAGCTATTTTAATACAGTCGTAATGTAATAACCTTAGTTGTGTTCACGACTGGCAAACATGTTTCAAAATGTCACCGGTGTAATTGGTTCTTGGAAACCTATATGTACTGTTAATGCACACTGCTTTATATTTAAACTGGTTTTGGCTGCACTGCCAGATGTAATGTGTAAAAAAAAACACGTGACTCATGTCACTTGTAAGCTAACCCCCAGGATATATGTTGTAGGGAAGAAAAAAATAATGTTTGTTATGGTGACACCTTCATCAGAAGAGTCGTTCAACATAATTTGCATGCGTGTGTGTGTGTGTGTATGTATGATTGTGCATACATACACAGACCGTACAGACTGTAACAACTACAGGGGCATCTCACTCCTCAGTGTGCCGGGAAAGGTCCTGGCAAGGATTATTCAGCATCGCCTTGCCAGGCACGCTGAGGAGAGGCTTGCGGAGCCCCCATGCGGTTTCAGGAAAGGGCGGTTCAAACACAGATGCCATATTATCTGTCCGTCTGCTACAGCAGAGGTATAGGGAATTCCAACAAAACCTACATCTCTGCTTTATTGACCTGGTCAAGGCCTATGATACCATCAATAGGCCTGGGCTCTGGGTTGTTCTTCGTGCTTTCTGAGTCCCTGGCCCGCTGGTCATGATCATTAAGGACCTTCATGATGGTGAGCGGGCCCGGGTAAAACTACGTGGCCAGGAGTCGGAGCCATTCCCTGTTCATCTTGGGGTGCGACAGGGATGTCCTCTGGCTCCCACATTATTTAACATCTTTTTTGACCACGTAGTTCATGAAGCCTTCTATGGCTGTACCGGAGGAATTTCTATCTGGTACAGATACAATGGGAGGCTGATCGATGCCCGGGTGCGGTCAAGGGATGGCCCACTTTTGTCAACCACGTTATGTATGCCGATGATCTGGTAATTGCCGCTCACTCAGAGGAGGAGTTGGAGGTGCTGCTGCTGAACCTGGAGCGTGCCACTAAGAGGTGGGGCCTTACCATCAGCCCCACCAAAACTAAGCGCCTGCCTGGGTATTTTGTACCATCGGACACTCCACCCCCACAACTCCCAATTGGTGATGAGAGAGTGGAGAGTTTCTCATACCTGGGCAGTGTGCCCATGACCGGCTCCGGTTTGACAGCAGAGGTCTCACTCCGAATCAGTCGAGCTGTGTAGAAGCTACCTGGTCTGTCACTCCGCATGAAGCTTCAGGTCTTCTCGGCCACGGTCATTCGCTCCCTTCTCTATGCTTGCGAAACGTGGACCCCCCTAATTGAACATCTTTGCCAGTTAGAAACATTTAGGCTGGCCTGCCTACGATCCATCCTGGGTTTAACCAGGCTGGATTGTCTGAGGAGCTCACAAATCCTTGAAGGATCTGGACAAAGTCCCATCGGTGAGCTCCTCTGGCAGACAAGGCTGCATTGGCTGAGTCATGTAGCCCGCATGCCCAGTCACCGCATGCCTAAACAGCTTTTGTTCGGCCAGATAGAGGGGGCTAAATGGGCGCGGCACGGGCTAGAGAAGAGATGGAGTGATGTGGTACAGGAGGATGTGGAGCTAAGTGGACTTGCCGTACCAGCGGTGACAGGATCGACCTCTGTCGATCGTGAAGGACGCTACTGGGCAGTTGGAGGCAGTCGCCCTCCAACAACAATGGAGGGCGGAGGAGCGACGCTCACAACAATGAGCAGAGCGCCGGGTGGCTAAAGCACAGCAAGTTGGCACAGTAGGGGGCACAGGTGGTGCATCAGCCAGTCCTTTCAGTCAGTCGACCCGTGGCACCTGGATCTGCCCCGTGACCTCCTGACACTTCACCTGGCCTCAACGTGCACATCGCCTGGCACAAGCGTCGTGGTGACGTCACCGCCACTTGGTGGCGAATGGCGGTTGTTGTTGTATGTGTGACTCAGCCTCAAAGAGTACCTGGTGCAATGTGTAAACATCGTCACTGGGGAGACAAAGGCGGCCGGGCGTGGTGTTGGCCACGCACCCTCTCGTGTGCCGTGCCGGCCTTCATAGGTGCACGCTAACATCTCTTGCCCCAACAGTCTGTGAAGGCTATACGGTGCTGATGTGCTGTCTTTTCCTTGAAAAGTAATCAATGTCTCTGTGCATGTGCAATAAGACTGCGCTTGTGCGTAGATAAAAATAGGACAGTTATGATGAAACAAGTACCTCTGCAACTTCACCTCCCACCGAAGTTACACGCAGTGCTCGTGGTGATTAATTGTACGTGGCAATATGATGGATTATTTTTAAAGCACATGGTAAAGACTTGTGGGTTGATGCAGGCAACAAGACATCTGCCTCATGTAGCACAGCTTAGGAAGACTTCTCGTAATATTTGTATCATCATCATCATGAGCCGCGGTCTGTCCACTGATGGATTAAGGGCTTCCCATGCCCTTGCCATCCCTTGCGGTCCTGCAATGCCACAGTTCTTCTGGCTCCCGTAAATGAGCTGATCTCACCGCTCGGCCTCCTTCCTGGCTGTCCTCTCATGTGCTTCCTCTTTTCTCTACACATATATATGTAATTTCAACTTATTTCACACCATTCATAGCCAACTGTGCTTGATCGGAGGTGCCGTACTGTCACCAGTCGTATCCACGAGCCATCATAACCTCTATCGGTGATGTGTCCTGCCTAGGCCCAGTTATTATCCTTAACAGCCATTCTATTGTCTGTAATTTGTCTTCCATGTGTGTCTTCTACTCAATGTAATTCCAAGCATGCGTCTCTTCACGCTTCTCGGTGTACTTTTCACGTTATCTTACATTTCCTCTGGGATTAACTTCAATTCTGATCCGTATGTCATAGTTGGGTAACATGCGCTGATTACATTTTTCATTTTCACACCACTCATTCGTAATATTTTCCCATGGAAAAATGTAATTTACAAATGGCAGACTCGGCTCATTCTCATTATTCTACTGGAAACCGGCGGCACTTTCTGCTCTCAGGATTCGTTCTGCTCGACACCGTCAGTGTGGCATGCCTTGGGTACACTAACTCAGGTTCAACCTCGCAGCAGCACCGGCTTTTGGCTCGCCATCGAACAAAGACGGTCACCGCATCGCGTGGTTTCAGATACGCTTCTGCGGCCGTGTGGGACGCTCTTCCTTCTGATATTAGGAAACCACTGGGAGCTTTGCATTTTTAAATCGTCCACATTGAAAACTCATTTCTTTAGAACTGATTTTTGTGTTTAGTTTGTTGTCTATCCCCCCACACCTCTGATTATCACAGTTGGCTACGTACGGTGCGAAAGAGGTTCAACATGCGTGCAACAAGGGCATAATGCTCTCGTCGTGAATTTGGATGCAGAAAGAAGGAAAAACCCAATTTCATATTTAACCTTCAGACTCCTGTGTGCTGAGAGAAACCCCCTGGGGGGATCTACTGTAATTATTTGAGGCAAGGATAAGTATTCTGCCTTTTTATCTTGAACATTAGCAGATTTCTGCAGCAGACAGTTTATATAAATGCATGGCACGTGCAGTGTGTTTCGTAGATTTTGTCTCAAGATTTATATTATGGCGAACGACCATCGACCCCTTTAAAATAAGCTACGAAGCAAAACCGAATTTAAACATATGGTCATAAATTGCGTTTATATACACACAAAAGACTAAAACAGATGGTTTGGAGCATCGGCCATTCTGCGGCTGTATCTACAGCCTTCCTTGACCAAACACCATAATGAGCTTCTAATTAAGTAGCTTGCGATAGAAGATCCCAAGCCGTCCTCCATCGAGCCTCATTAAAGTATTTTTGAAAAACAAAAGAAGGCGATTCATCTGCAGGAGGGAACGGTTTGAGCGTAACGGGACTAACTGAGGTGGCACTGTCGCCCTCCGCAGCAGGAAAATCCCAGAATGGCGGGAGGCAGCGCGGACGGCCCCCCAGCCCGGTCTTGGCGGACGGAGGCCCGGGGCAAAGGCCTCGCGCCGGCAAGAAGAGCAAGCACGGCAGCAGCAAGATGGACGGTAATGTCCACAATGACCCCGCTCCCTTTTATCTCCCGTTCGTTCGTGATCTCTCTCTCTCTCTCCGAATGCCACGCTCCCTCCCTCTCGCTCTCCCTGAGTTTCTTTCTCCCGAGTTCTCTTTCTTTTTGGCAAAAGAGTCATTCACATCGCTGCCACTTTTAAGGAAAAAGAAAAAGACAGAGGCTAGACAGCCAAAGTAGTTTGGGAGTTTTTTTTCGGTTTATGTGATGTGGCTTTGAGCCTTTTGGCGCACAATCTAGTGGGGCTTTTCTGCGGATCACATTAAGGTTAACATCAATCTTTTTGAAAGCTAAAGTAAAAGAAATAATTAACATTTAAATAGTGTTGAAGTCATGACTCACAAAACATCGCAATTCCGGAGTTTAGCCGTAATTGGCTACAATAGCTCTTACAGAAACGCCCCATGGGGTCTCATGGGAACCCCGGGACAATTTGGTGAAATGACAATGGAAAAAATCACCATTTCCCAATGAGCAGCACCATGGGACAGTCCTGTGCAGAGAGGATAATTTGTTGAAAGCTAGCTGTTTTAAAATGAATGCCAAACCGCTGGGCTTCCCCTGCACCGTTACAGACTTGCCACCACCTCCGCTGCCTCCTCCCATGGGCACGACGCGGCTGATGAGCCTGCAGCAGCAAAAGGGCCTGACAGGCTCCGACCTGGGCCTGGCGTCTCGTGAAACCAGGGGATCAGCTGAACGTCTCTACCATGAATCGGGTAAGGAGCTGCGATCACCTATGGACACAGAAGACATTTAGGAGGTCTCAAAGAGCCGGCTGCATGGATTCTCAGAGCCGCAGCTTTGTGATACTTTAATTGTTTTATTTTTGGCAAGCTCGGAATTCAGAGTTTTTTTGTTATTTTTGGAATCACGTCAATTATTTAAAAGTTTTTTGGCAAATGTTATGTAATTGTGTTGATTTAGCACCTAGAGAGGGCCTCGTTTTGCTTTCTGCCAAGTACTTTTGAATTGCTGCCAGATTATTTGAGTTGGTTTCAACACGAGACCAGTACATTGGCTCTATGAACTTCTACTACAATGGTAAATATCACTCTGGACACGGTGCCAGGTTGGTGAAATAGATCATCCGAGTTCTGCCACAGATTAAACAATCAACGGTTTGTTCGAGGAGCACTGTGCAACGTCATCAGTCTTGTTCCAAAAAAAAAATCCATGCTCAAAAGGGCACACATTAAAGGCAATGACCAACAAGCCTGATCACGTCCCAGATTAAGCAACACGAGTCCTGGCACTGTCACTGCCATCAGTTATTTTAACGTTGATTGAGGTTCATATAGATTTTTTTTTCTAGTCGTGAAACGAGGTACTATCGTGGATTACAATTTGAGAAAACTTTGAAGTACCCTGTGGCATACGTACATTTTCCTCCAACACGCTGGCAATTGATAATATTTGGAGTTACAATTTTCAGGACTTGAATGTACACATGTTTTGTATTGTACCTTGTAGGTATTCTAATTAGCGTATATTTTATCATACATTAAATTAAATACGTCATGTATGGTTGACTTAAAATTGATGCTAACATCGGAACTGTTAATTGATATGTACTTTACATGGATTACATACAGATATTTATTTCTTGGCATAAGTTGTATAAATTAGTTGTAGTTAGCTGTAGTAAGTAATTACATTGTAGCAATTACAATTTCAGCTTTTTGACATTTTCATTATTAGGGCAAATATTGAGCCCTGGTTGGCATAAATTGCAAAAAAAATTACCATTGTCAGTCTCCAAACTCGGATGGCTCTCATGCATTATAAAGGTTTAAATGTGAATACAGTAATTTAAATAACACTAATATATTTATTTGGCTATCACATAGAACTGCACATTTCCGAATAAGAGTGTATATGTGATATTGTTTTTACATACCATCATTTCAATTTTCAATGCAATAAAACTATATGAATGTGATTAAATTTTACATAGTAATTAGTAAAATAGTTGTCAGTTATTGTTATGTACAATCATTCACACTTCGATATAAGAAAAACCAAATCGAGCGATATTTATATCGAATTTTTTTTAGGTGTGTGCATTCACAACATACGCTGACGACATCTTCGCTATAAGGCTGAATGGTAATGGACTACAGGAAATTACTGAAAAGCATGACAAATGGTGAAAAGTGGGGATAGAGATGCATACATACATACAAACAAAACAAAAAGTCATGGAAAACATATTGCACGATCGAGTCTGGTTAGTACTTGGATATGTGACCACGAAGACTTGCGAGATTGCAGTGCTGAGTGTCTCTGGATACTCTGGTTCCCTCTCATATGAAGCCTAACTCTCATTGATGGAATTGGCCATTAAACCCCAATCTAGTGGAACCGTCCTGTAAACGACTTCTCAAGACTTAGAGAGTGTTTCCTGGGTGAATTATTGACCCTCACATGAAATGGTCTATCATCTCGTTGTTTGCTTTTCTGTACAGATGAAGGCGAGGGAGATATTATGCCATACTCCAAGCCGTACTTTCCCAGCAGGGGACACGTGCCTGCTCACAGCTCCTTACCGGGCCCCGGAGGAAAGGGCTCTGCCAACGGCAGGAGGGCAGAAACAGCCAGAAATGGTGAGCTCCCAGGCAAAACAAGTAGCGATAGCGTAACCATAAAATCAGCACCCAGCTGCCCACGTCGGCAAAATTCCTCATCCTAACAAAGCATTGTCGTTTGTCATTTTGAGTGACGATGCCTTTTTCTCTATTTTTATTAACCCAAAACAAACCTGCGTGGGGTCTAACAAATGACACCGACAGTCATCGGATTTCAGGATTTCGTTTTCAGTGCGCTAATATTATTTGTGAAACTAGTATTTCATCAACGTGGTGGTGGTGGTGGCGTCTAGATATAGTTGCGTTTTTCTTTATGTTTGTTGCCGCCTTTTCTCTGCCCTTTCCACTGCTTGAAAGCTGAACTAATCCCTTGATGCCTTTTGTGTCTTTTGGCAGAGTGAGCTGCACTCGAGTGGATGGCCATCTGAGTCGCGCTGGCCTCCTGGATACGGCAGGGGGGGGGGGAATAATGGTGCAATTGAAGTCTCCTACTTGTTCGGCGTTATTTAGCGGCTCTAAACGGCCGTAAAAAAAATGTTCGGCCACAGACAAAGGACCTGGCTGGCAACCCTTACGACGATATTTAAAACAAACCGGATTTTTCTGTGTTACAAGCCATGTGGAATCTGGTAAAGTGTGGACTCTGTTCTCACTGAGGCCACCGTCAAGTTTTCCCGTCCTTTTGTTGCAATGTCCATGTCTTCCCGTCACCGCCACCGTCTGCGTTGGCAAAAAAACTAATGTTTTGGTTTGTGGCGTTGATTTTCATGTTTCTTTGGACTCGTGCCATCGACATTGATTTTTGATTAATCACTGTTATTTAATGTTTGCACTGCAGATAGATTATAAGCACAATAATTTTGTTCCTTTTGCTCCTGTTATTTTTACCCGACGTTCATTCGGTTACAGTGACATTCTCTGTTCGTATCGTTTTTGTTAAAAAAAATTAGTACAAGCCAGATGTGTGGAGGTGTCCCTGTAATTGGTATGCCAGGCAGCCTGTTGACTCGTTGCCTTCGTACCGTGTTTGGGGGGGGGGTGACCGTTATAAATTGTGAGGATAGAATTTTCACACACAGAAAATAAAAACGTAATCTGTACAGTAAAAAAATGATGTAATTAAAAAATAATGTAAAGGATGTGCGACAACGCAAGGCCTCTGCAAGCAATGGGTATTTCCATCTCTTTGTAGCACCCTCTGTAAATACGTCGTCCGTTAAGAGCACGTTTTAGGCTCTCCCGCAGAGGCCTTGCCGGGATTATTCCAGGATGCGCATGTAAAATGATGCTGTAGTGTGTTTCACTGTTTTACAGGCATGTTGTTGCTGGCTAAGCCGGAGGTTTTTTTAAACTTTTTTTTTAATGAATCGTGTTTTTGACAAGCAGTATTTTGAAGAGCGGGAACACATAATCCCCCACCCCCCATCCCCTTTCCCGACATAAACCCCCGTTCCCTAAAACGTTAAATGCGCTCCCGTTCGCTCTCCGTTTGCTGTGACACTTAGCTGACCATTGTACGTATTGCAAGAGGAACATTTTGACGTGCAGAGATCACCCACCACTGTCCGTACCCACCACTATACATGTGGCTCATTCACTTAAGGCCTCTCATGCACCAGGCTACGCGGTATCTGCTTTTCCAACCTCAATGTACCCCATCGTAAGAGGAGCCGTAGCTCTACTGTGGAGATCTGTGCAGCTCATGGGCGAGGCCGGCACCCCAGCGATGACTGCGTTGCATCTCAATAGATAAGCCTTTTCGGCCAACGTCATGATGTCACACCGCACACGTGTACCTCGTAATGACGTCACTTGTGACGCCACGTCGCGCGCCATGCGTGATTGGAATCTCTTATTCATATTTTTAGGTTTTTTCGGTAAAGTCACGTAGGTAAAAAATACTAATTAATAATAGTAAAATAAAAATGATGGGATCTCGTTGACCAGGGCTCAAAAATTGTATCGCAGTCTGCACGTGGCACAAGTTCGCTGCGAGAAAATGCACGGCACGGCCCTGTCAGCCAATCAACATGGATACAAACCCTAAAGTAACATCTAGAAGATGCAAGTACAAAATGTTAATTATACGATAAAACAAAAATTCAAAGCTGCGTAGCATTTATTATAAAATAAAAAGATTGATTCATAACGCTTCTTTTCAGACATTGTGCGTTTCGTTATTTTGAAGTGCCATGTTGCTTTTCCCCTGTTTTTCATATTCCATCAAGGTCACAGTGCTAAGCGATGACGTCAGTTTGATGACTGAGATGTGCATTATGATAGGCGGTGAGGTCACACGACCCCCCCAATTGCAGCTGAAATTCAAAGTGGCGCTGTACATGCCCCCCCCCCCCCACACATATTCCCGTGTGCAGCCATCGTGCAGAGCTGGATACGTTAAACTGGGCCCCAAAGAGACCGCCCCTGAAACCAAGTCTGCAAAAACAGCTCAAGCGTAACCTCGTGCATCAAAGGCCTTTAGGATATTCACTCGATGGGCACCCCAATTCATGGTTTCGATTTGCTTCAAGCCACGAATGCAAATAAATTAAAGTTTTATAATAAAGACAAGACGGTGTGACGGGCTCTTGAATTGCGTGTGGGCTGATTCTTATTTTAAATGCGAATTATTGGTCACACGTGGCCACCACCCCAGCACTCGCGCGTGTGTGTGCTCTCGTGAGATAATGGAGGGTGGTTTTTTTTTCTAGCCCAACAGGATACCTTGAAGTCGACCCCAAGGCATTCCCCTCCCCCCATCACCACTCCCCCATAACCATCACAAATCAAGTGACGGCAAACTTTCTCTTGACAACGCACGCACAGGTCACACGGCTCACGCATACAAATGAAGCGGGCCTGGCACCAAAGCAAGCGTGTGACCGGGAAGTCCCCCTTTTTGGACAGGAAGAGAGGAACACGCCCTAGATGTAAGGAGTTGAGTCGGTTGTGCGGTGGATTACAATCCAGTCACCGGTGTTCTTGTGGACCCAGTCGGGTGGAGGAGGGGGTGGCGCTGGGCAGATGAAAACCAAGAAATATATTCGGGTCCCAAGGAGCTCAAGGGACCCCCCCAGATTTCATTAAAAAAATAGGGTTGTACTAAATATGAGCTAAAATTAAGATCCGTAAAAGCCAATTACAGCAAATCACTCATATTTTGTCTGCATCATGCTTCTCTCACTGCACCTCAACTGTTGCCTCCATGTCTCCCATGTCGCCACATGTCATCTCTTTAGAAATTGCCTAAATTGTAAGGAGGATGGGGTGAGGGGGGGGAAGCCACAACACGATTCTGCTTAGCGCCACCCAAATGGGTTTACACTGCCACTCTGTGGACCCAAATCATCGGGCCCACTTCTTCGTAAGTTGATGTTCGCGCTTTTGTGTGATTTAACAAGACGGCATAAGCCAGTCGCGTGGGGCCTGCTCGCACACACCGAAAGAGTAATTGTAGCAATTACAATTAGATTGATTCAATCTCTGCCGTAACCAGTTAAAGCTAAGCCCCCCCCCCCCGAATGCAATTCCATTTTCCAATTACTTTTCTGTGTGCTCTCCAAAGCGTTGTTATTTTTAGGATTGTTGATAGTTAATGGAAATTCCTCTGGCTCAGAGGACCCAATTAAGAATATATAAAAGGAATAAAACGGCAATTAGCAAGCACCCCACAACCTGTAGGTTCGTCACCACTGTAAACACGTAACCGCCGAGACGAGCATTCAACAGCAAATATATGACACTTGTACTGGTAGGGACCCACTGGTTCCACCAACCCACAGGGGATTATTGTGTCCGTCCGTCGTGCAGGGAGGGGCTGGGTGGGGAGGGTGGGGCTGGGTGGGGAGGGGAGGGTGGGGAGGGGCTGGGTGGGGAGGGTGAGGGTGGGGAGGGGCTGGGTGGGGCTGGGAGGGGCTGGTCACCCCGTGGTGCCCTTATAAAACTCAACGTTTAACCTACTCACGCCGGCTTGTGCCCGCCCTCACAGTCGGCCATATTTGCGGAATACACCACGCTGCCGTTGACCCTGGCCATTGACCGAGCAACCCAACGTTCCTACCAGCTCCCTCCGCAGGAATGTGTTTAAATTTTGACTTAAAGCTTTCGTGACTGCAGGAGATCGTATTCCTTGGGTCTTTCCGTAAAGCCACTTAGATAGAAAAAATAATCTAAATAATAAAAATATCACGACGTTACGATCGCAACGCAAGTAATCGTCTTCAGGCGAAGACGACAATCGTGAAGACGATTATTATTTTACATGCACACTTACAGCGATGGGTTTTTTTTGCAAACTAACAAATTGCGTCGCCATGTTTCACGAGTAGAAGGCTTGACCGATTTGACATTATTTGTTTATTTCGGGCCACAATTAACAATTGTGTTGTAATTTGCAACAATTAATTAATTACTTAATACACGTGAATTTTGAACAGAACTGCAGTTTTAAATCCTCAGTCCCAGCATCTCCCGCAGTTGCTTCGTGCGATGGTGTTTGGATTCTGACAAGGTCTGTTTGCTGTTATACAGAACCAAACTTATGATCTGAGAAATATGATATAGCCTGCAAATACCTCATTCGCTTTTTCCTTGGTACATTTGTTAAAACAAACTGAAAAAAAGTCAAGTGTTCAGCGTGTGGATTGCAAAGTAAAGGCATTTCATTTAACTCTTCCTCCCAGGCCCTGTATATATATATATATACAACGCTTGTGTCAATCCACTGCTGGATGAATACATCCCCAACGCCATGCATTTCGCCGTCGGTATCTGACCATACTTTACTCAGCTGCTCAGTACGGCTCGGTGAAGTTGGGTGAAGCCGTAGATGCAGAAGCATCAAGGTCCAGCACTGCACAACAATACATTGTACTGCACTGCCCACGGCTGCCCACCCACGTAACCTACGAACAACCTCTGCGCGCGTGGTGCAAAAAAGATTTAACTACACTTATTTGCCAATCTTATTTGACAGACAACTATTACAGTTGTACCATGTTTAGTGGTGGTCTCCCTGTCACAGGTTGAGTCACAAACCGCACCTCTCCATAACAAAGGCTCAGCCTTTGTTATGCAGTCTATTCTTAGTCTTAAGCCTCACCTTACCATATTAATAAAAAGTATGCGGCCCTTGCCCCACCACCTTCTCCAACCATTATATAAACGGAGTGGTAGCTCCTGCAATCTCTCATTTACTTGATACAGCTGTCGTGGCTGTGACGGTACCACCTGAAGACGGAAGCTTGTGTTGCCATCCGAAACGTCGTGATTTTTATTTTATTTTACTTTTTAATGTTTTTACCTACGTGACTTTACCGAAAAAACCTAAGAATATGGTGCACTCTCGTTGCGACGCACGAGCCAGGCGCAAACTTGATTAGCTTCTCAGACGTGATGAGATCGTGCTCGATGCGCCGTAAATGTATGCAAATTAATTTCACCAGCAGCTCCAATGCAAGCCTCCCCTTGCAGTCATTTGAATACAGCAGAGATAAGCCATGTGCGCTCACGTTCGCATGTTGCCATGCCAACGGCCAATTTAAACTTTTGCGAGAATAATTGAAACATCAACTATCGTAAGGGGGAATGCTTTTGCTCTCAGAGGGCGGTAAAGTGGAGGGAGTCACGTTGCATCTGTAATGTTTAGCCATATGTGTAAAGTAGTCTTGAATTGATGTATTCATTATTTGGCACGAGAATATTGCGTGCTGATGTTAAGATATTAATTATTTAAGAATATTCACTCCCCCTTCTCAATTTTACAGGTTTGCAATGACGCAACACGTCACTACTGTACGTTTTTTTAAACATATTTAGAATCAGGTCTATTATTCTTTATCAGAGAGAGAAATGCTTTGGAGTTTTGGGTGGCTGACCTTCGACAATAATACTTGTCGTATAATTAAAACCATCACGTAACTCTGTGTTGTACGTGTTTTCTTCTTATATATCTGTTGACTCGTCAGTGAAAATATATACTGTACAGCACAAACATCAACCAAAACTTAGGAACCGTATGATATGGCCTCACCCTAAATTTAATCTCTGGCATGACATACAGCTACATTTTAAAAGTGGAGTGTGTGTGTACTCGTTGCTTTGGTTTACCACAGTGCAACAACAACACAAAAATGAGAACTGAGTTTGGTTTATGACTGGTGGTGAGATATAGCCAAGGAGGGCTCAGACTGTTTTCATTGCAGTAGAGCAGACTGAGAGATCATTCGGATAAAGCCTTTTTTTATTGTTGTTGTAAGCGAGTCCAATGGCATTTGCACACCAAAAAAAACCCCCACGTACAGTTCAAATAATACACATGGTAGGTCTGGTTGTCTCGCCGTATAAAAGGATAAAAGATGTAATAAAAAAGGTTCATCTGGGAGTTTGGGAGGCAATTGTCTTCACAACGAGCTGTAGATCTTTGAAATGGCCTTCCGAGAAGTGCCTTGTGTAGACAGTGCACTGAATCGTTAATAAAACGGCGTTGGGTGGTGCCGAAGGATTGTATTGAAGCGACAAAGGGATACAACTTCACATTTATGAAGTTCCGCCTCTTGTGAAGAGTGAGCGAAGGGTGAGTGAAGGGTTGAGCATAGAGTGGCTCTATGCACAACGCTAGCCATTAAAACGTCGACTTTTCTTTGGAGGTTATTCCACAAAATTCCATCGTACGCTTTAGAAACTCGTGCAACACCGAGATCTGAAACAGCCTCATACCACACAAGATTTGAATGGCTGATTGTCTGCTCCTCCTGTGTTGTATTCATGTCGTCACAAGTAAACTTTACTTTGTTTTGCTTTTATCAACACGATAAATCGAATATTTTATTTAGCTTTTCAAAGCGACGATCCAGTATTTTCATAACATGCAAGTTGTAGAACCATCATACATACCACTGCCAAAGAAAGGGAAATACAGCCTTCAGAATAGAGGTCTACAAATGAAAATTCCACGTTAGGCATCAGGATATAGGTCGTTTGTCAGAATTGAAGTAGGGAAAGAATTGCAGTGATGTGTGGCCTTGGTGAAAAAAAAGATTCAAGTTTTTGTCCTCTCCATGAACAGGGAGCAGTCGTGCATGTCGCGTGTGTATGCGTGTGTGCATAAGCATCACAAATCAATGGTTGTGCAGAGAAACTTGCTTCAGCTGGCAATACCTCCCAGGCTGTTGAAATTTGTGGGCCGAGTAGATCATCACACACAAAAAAACCGCCGCTATTTTGCTTTCGTGCTGCCTTTCACACCTGGTATTCATAATCCCTTGTGCGGACGTTCATCTGTGAGAGCGAAATTATACGCACAACAAAAATAGAGAGAAAATGTTTTAACGTCGCCTCGCTCCAGGTTCCAAAAATCACCTCGTAAAAGCACGACTACATTTTTTGTAAAAGTTATTATTTGCCCGTGAAACGTCGGAGAATTGCAGTGGTTTTGTAACAGAGCGTCTTTGTGCTGAAAGCAGAGAGGCAGGCGTCATGTCCTGTGCTGCTAAATGACTTTCTAGTTCATGTTTCCTGCTGCGATAACAGAGATCCTAACTGTAACCTCTCAT